ATTTGGAGTACTATGTCAATGATATTTTTCTCATATCGGCCAATACAACTTTGAGGCATAGAAATCTGTTTATTTTGGGGATTCATTCACGTATTAAACTCAACAGACCCTCTCATTGAGTTAACAATTAGAGAAAGAATGCAGGTCTTCTTCAAACAGCCTTTTAGATCTAGAGTTGGAGTGCTTCCGGTTTGTCTACACGGTTGATAGTTTCTCAGTTCAAATAAATCAAAGATGTTTATTCAAAGACATACACTATTGGTTTTGTTATCAAAAATGTATACGCAAGTAAAACTAGTACTTGGAGGATGCCCTATCAGCAGATACAAGACACTCAATGAAATCTAATAATTACAATAGAAAAAAATGCTCATCAGCAGAGGAACGAAATTCCACCCAGGGAAAGTAATAGATAATTCCAATTTAGTTTAATGATGAGCAACCAACTATAAAATAACTACTCAAGAAACATAATTATTAATCGATTTCTGTATTCGAATGTCCACGAGGGAAAGAGAGAACTTGTAGTGTCGGTTTATTATATTAAACCCATATATCTTGTTCTAGCTTTCGGACAAACCAGTCTATTCGTTCTATTTGAGTCACATTCTGACATTGATAATTATTCGCTTATCAACTTTGACTGTTTTTATATGAGCGCATATATGTGTGTACACTTCTTATCCCATTACTCATCACATGTCTGACCCATTTTTGTGTGACTATAAATATTTATTAATGCTTGACTAAATGGAGTTGGCTCACACGCTTTCTCCAACGCACGTCATTTCTGCTTCGCTCTCTTCTCTTCGCATAGTATATATATATTCAAAAGTCCATTCTCGTTATTTGACATGTTTAATTCCGTTATTGACTAACGCGATTCAAGTTGATGATTATATACGAGGATAGGCGACACATATATTTCGACAACGATCATTCATACGACAAAATTGGAGTCAGATCCCGGGCCACTAAAGTGGACAGCCCGCCAACAAACATTGTCCGATCTAAATGATGACAAAATAAAGGGCCCCACAAACTTGCCTACTTTTTAACAGGAGCGATCAGTTTTCAAGATAGCTACAGAAGTACTGCAATACGTTACGGCAACTGCCATAAATCGCTGTCCAAAAAAATAAGGATAGAGCAGTTATTAAAAGACCCAACATCAATAAGGAGTGAGTTACGATTCAGATGTTGTAAACAATATAATTATAGTAATCGCAAACAGACCAAAAAATATAAGCAAGTATGGAAACGATGCATATAAAGAAACAACTAGCAAATAGTTGAATGTAAAGGACACACGGGAGGATTCTCTCATATATTCTTACCGGCACATACAAATGAATTTTGCACAATCCTGTTGCGAGAAAAACCGAAGATATATAGTTACCGAAATTTCAGAGATAAATATAGTAATATGCATTTTGTGTACTATACTGTAAATCGCCAACGTAGATGATCTATGTCGAGTGATTAGAGGCCTACTCGAGTTAGACGGGAATGGTGTGACAAAAGCTATCTTCGAAGTTACACTTTTCGGTCAAAATCTAACGTGGATTACCCCTTTGACGTATTAAGGCTGCTTTGAGGACCGTATAACACAAATGACGTTATTAAGGAAATATATTAGTAAGAATGAGTACAGAGGAGATAACGAGACCACCATCGCGTGCGTCAGTTCATGACATTTGCGTCGGTTTTGTCGTTGACAGGGATTGACGACCTATTCGATATTCAGTGATCTAACTGCACAGTGATTTGGCTAGGACCCAGTGACATTTAACTGGCCTTACGATACATATGGTCATTAGTAGCTAGCGGATAATAGTAAATAAATATAGCACAACATAGCCCGGAACAAGTCGTCGAAACATTATTTTTTATTGTATTGTAGCCAATACACACCAGCCCATCTGTTAAAATCACTTTCTGATGCATTTGAAACTCAAGTTAGAGATATTTAGGAAAGTGTTGTTTTGATATGACGATGGAATTAATGCACATAGGTTTAATTACTCAATTCAACCAACACAGCACAACGAATCTGCCTAAAATCATGTATCTCTGCAGGCATGAACAAGGGCTTTGATCTTATGTGAGTTATTACATCACTGGTTGCCCAAAAATGAGGGTATATATAAAGGGGAATTTTCAACACCAATAAAGTTATGATGTTCTAGATGTTTCGTAGTGGATTGAAGGGAGCGGGCATATATGTAAATATTATGAGAAAATCACTGATCACAAGCATAAGAGTGAGGTTGTGGGGATTGTTAAGTTTGTGATTAAGATCATGAATCGATTAATGTTAAAACACCATTGAAAACCTGAAAGCACTGGACGGCCGTTTCGCTCTCGTATGGAACTCCTTAGGAGCGTGCACCCACGAGTCTGCACGCCGGATTCGAACCCAGGACCTTCAGTATAGCGCGAACGTTTAACCTCTAGACTACCGAGCTGGCATCCAACGGTGTTATTATCTAACTGCAACTAATTCATGAAATTTCGCGACTATTTTCGATTGTCTGAGGTAAATTTATAATATTAAAAGAAGCATTTATTCACCTGGTACTGGAACGATGAATATTATTCCCACTAAGCTAATTGATAGTTGTCAGCCTACGCCCTCCTGATCGAGGTTATTTCAGTCAGACTCTAATAAGAGAACAGAAATAAATTTCAGTTTATTGACTGAGGAAAATAAACCGGGTTTGATCGAATAGGAACGACTTTTCAATTTGTCAGAAGTTTGTGTTAAATAACATACTCTTCATGGGGTCATTATGAACATATCTAAATAAATATCTAGTTCAGTGTGATAGAAGTTCACTGCAAAATATAATTTATGGTATTCAAAGCTCAAATACAGGATAGGTTTAGTTAATGTTCTAAGTATTGAAATATGGTCAAATTAACAAGCAAACTAAATCTGTTGTCCATCAGCCATAAGCAATATAAAACCTGACACATATGTGAATCTGTTTAAGCTGCCACAACATATCAGCACAGCGAGATGAAATTATCAAAATGAATACTAGAGTAGTAGAGTGGTATGTCCTACTGATGTCAACAGATATAAGTAGTATGTACCACCAACCGAAAATGGAATACCTGGCAACTGAAGGTTGAGAAGATAGAAAAGAAGAGAACGAGAACAGAGACTGATTGGTGTGGAAATGAAGGAACAATCAAGTCTGAGATAATTGATTGACATTTTGCAAATGAAGCATTTACTGTATGGTCCTCGGATTTTACTAAGATGTTTTGTAAATTTGTGTTCAAATACATTCGGTTGACCCAACTGGTGTTAGCGTTCAGTACAGTAGCAGCATCGGTGATAGGAAAAGTATGATTTTGGAAGAAGGAATTGATTCGTGTAAGAAAAAGGTGTCAGTTAATTCCAAAACTCAAGGTTTTAAGGAAGACAAAAAGTGAACGCGTCTCCTCATTCGAGACTAACTTTGAACAATGTCATTTAAGCATCAACTTTAGGCATAAGAAAAGAAATCATCTGATACAGAGAAAGGTGATGAATAAATCACTGGTTGAGAGTGATTCTTTAGAACAATTTAACGAACATTATTTAAATAGAATATGAACTGGCAGCAGAAATAATAATAATTCACATAAAAATGCGAAATCTAGTGTCATTTTGAAGTCAATAATCTTCACATCGCTTTTAAGAATAATTACTTAAATGAGTAAGATTATCGTTTACAAGTAGAATTTAGCCATACTAATGACAATCTCAGTTATGGATTATAACCACACGTTAAGACACCTCTGTCTACAAGAAAACGCTTGCTTACACATTTTAATAAAGGTCAGTATAATTATAACTTAATAAACTGGATAAACATCATGGCATAAATTATTTCCGAGATTTAATCAAGTAATAAATCCGAAAACTATTCTAGAGCTATGTGCAAACCATTCATTGAAATAAAGTACACTGAACAGATAAAAACATGTCACACGATTGTACACAACATAAGTTTGTACTCTGTGTCCTTCATACTAAGTGATATATAATAATTGTTAATCAGCTTAAAAGAACAAAATGCCAGTACAAAATTCAATATAACGGTCAATGAATAATGTAAGCCATTCGTTGATATTGCTACAGTTTATCATATCTACTGAGCCAGAATTAAAAACACTGAGAATACTTTATGTAGAATAGGTAGAATATAGCTAGCAGTGAAATCGTGGAAGGACGTTTCATTTCATTTTAGACTCATCGGCTAGATACAACTGCATCCCAGAGTTGATGTTCACTATGGGACACAAACCCAATACCGTTCTTTAAAACGGCAATGAATTACCCATTTAGTTCTTGAGTCCCAACAGTTATTCATTTGTGCATTGAGAATAAATTCGAATTTAATTCTTCTTTTTAACGGTTTGGAATAACCCAATGTTGATATTTTGACCGAAACTCAACCATTTTAGTAATATGTACATCTTGTGATGAGCGATTTAATGTCACCGCATTTCAACTAAACTTGTGTTATAATGGTTATATCAAAGCAGTCCCTCAAGATGAATATATACCAATCAAGACTGATCACATTTTAGTAAAAAAATATCAACAACTAAATACTCTATCACTATAGGGGTTGTGGAGATTATTAAGTTTTTGATTGAGATCATGGAGCTAATCCATATTGGGTAGAGACAGGTATGTACCTCATTACAATGGAAGATGGTCGCGCAATTTCGTGGATTAGTTGAGATTAGACATTAACACCGTTTGATGCCAGCTCAGTGGTCAAGTAGGCTAATGGTTCGCGCGCGAGACAGAAGGCCCTGGGTTCGAATCCCGCAAGCGGGATCGTGGATGCGCACTGCTGAAGAGTCCCACAACAGGACGAAACGGCCGTTCATTGCTTCCAAGATTTCAATGGTGTTCTAACATCAATCGGTTCATGATCTCAATCTAAATACTCTAAGCCATAATTATTTAAACAAACAAAGAAATATAATGCATATACAAGAAAAAATATATACACTATACAATCTCATAATGTTGTGTTATAATTGACAAAAACTGTCTGTTTGATTGAATTTTTTCAAGAGTAAAAACAAACAAACAATCATTCTTATCTATAAAATAAAATGAGAAAATTTATTTTGTTTACAATAATTAATTACACAGTGATTATTTTCTTTTTATTATAAAATAAAAAACATTTTTTATTTAAATGATTAAATTGTTGCATCCAATTAATTAACCATTTCAATTCACCTTTATGTGGGAGTAAACGTTTAATCAAACTATTCACAGTTAAATGATATAACCAGTAACGATTAAAGCCAATATTTACAGATATACACCTAAATATTACCTCTGAATTAATAAAATAAAATAAGGTTATAATTATTCAAAAAATAAATTAAAACAAATTATAAAACTGATTCTTCGAAATAATTTTAATAAAATAATAAATTATATTTCTATAAATTACACTATACATTGATACTAGATAGACAATCGCTGAGAGTCAAGAAGCATTAGATAGCTTTTCTGTCCTAATGTTAGACTATTCAATAGTATAAATCCATGACTTCATTATAGACGATTGAATCCAAAACTTTCAGTCTCACACACGAATGAATAACCTTTAGGCCATTGGATTGGAATATAATAGTGTATATATCTAACATCAATAAATTAACGATATTGTAAAACCATATTTGATTGCCTGTGGTGGATAACTTTTTTTGAACTGAATCTGTCAACAGCTACTTTTAATATGACAGAAACATGAAATAAATAAATGAAAACATGGTTGAAATGTTTCTATCATCGGATTGCGTCAAAAATAATTACTATACGATTAGAAACACCTCGAATATTAACATTTTTTATATTTGACATTTCTTAATAATGGAATTTCAGAGAGAGGTATTTATAATTGGTTGATCATGAGGCAGTGATCAATGTCATATCTGTCTACTCCTTTAGTACTGGTCGAATTATGTTGGTAGAGTTACAATGTAACTACTAGTTTAAGTGACTCAACATTGTATGGATTACATTAATATGTTAAGTGATTAAAGTATTCGTTGATATCAAGGAACTTTACAAAGATAGATGTGTCCAATTTATGTGTAAGAAGCGAATTGAATTTAAACACTCATGAATCAATTGTATTGCTAGTAATATTCATTGTAACAATGTGTTAGTTGATTTACATGGTCCGCTTTATAACTAAATACCTTAATTAATATGCGATTCTGAAACACGGTCTAAAGATCAATAAATCATTAGTGATTTCAACTTACTTCAGCACTATCTACACTTAATACTTAAGATTTCCCTTTTACCTCTGATTGGTCAGTTTCATATCTCCATGACTGATTTAAAGTCATGTTTGTGTACATCATGGTTATGTGAAAAACTGATCTCATAAAAAATAATTATATATTAAATCAATGATTTTTAATTGATGTACCGAAATCGACTTGAGATATAACAAATGAAATTTACAGATTTTCATATCACTGAAGATTAGTACACACCATAATACTGTAATCTGAGTAAATTATACAAATAAAGGAAATAAATATTATGGGGAGGGAAACAATGTGCTTTTTTATAGTTATTTTCTTTTCTTATTTATTTAATTAAATAAAAATTGAATATTTACAGGAAACAGGCTGATCCAGTGTGTGGGCTTGTTGAAAATAATTATCATTTGAATGAATCATCAGTATGTATATGTATCATATGTGATAGATGAATCATAGCAACTGTAATTTGAAACATACACAAGCGAATACAAGTTAATTCTATTAATTTAGTGGAGCAAAATAACATTTCTTTCAGAAAGATATGAATTCATTAGAGCAAATAAAGAATTGAACTTTGTTTTAGATACTCAGTCAGTGACTCGCTGAATACGAAAATCAGATTTAACCATTCTAACCAGTATGGATCCAATAAATCATAACAGAACAGCGTTGAACTGTTTGTCAACAACTTTAAATACATGCACAGAAACTTCTTTTTAAACAAATAAACTATTTTGAACAATACCCCTGAAATACTGGTATTTCATGCAGCTGGTTCCCTACATAATTTTCAATTAAGCAAGAACGACATATGATTTCATAGTATTCTGTAATCACTGTCATTATCACCCTATTTATGTACTGTAGTATACTGTCATTTAATAAAATGTTATTCAATATTCAACTAATCACAGTCCATCCTTTCCTTTGTAACAGTATTTCGAAAGAAAAACATCATACAACTAAACTTATGTGAGGCAAGAAAAGTTGATGGAAACACCTGCTTAAGTCTGAAAATTCGTCGACTATATTAAGTTAATGATTAAAACACAAGCAAACATCATGAAGTATATAAAGAAGATATAGTTAGTTACGTTTATGAATTGAAATAAAGCTAGAACATTTAAGACAAAACAATATGAATCGATTTTATTTTATGGTCCCTTCATCCACTTACAAGCGTATTCGTATAGAAATATAGTATTGAATTATGATATAATCTATATTGATGATGGAAAACAACTGAAATAACGACGTGTATAAAGTTGGAAATCTTAGACTTATGTAAACCTGACAAATACCAGCAGTTATTACGTAATCTATCTTTTCTTTTTTTTATGCCATGTAATCACTGCTTCACCTTTTGTAGGTCTTCAATGTTCATCTTCAAATAACCCTGCATACGTTTATTCTCACATATACATAACTGATAAGCATTGTGTATTATCATAATTTAATGTTACACCCAAAAACAAGTACGCTTGTAAGTGGTTGAAGAAAGACGGTGAAATAAAATCAATTCAGATTGTTCTGCTTAGTTGTTGTTGAGACCTTAATCAACAACAAAAAGATGTGAACTACTGATTGTTTAGTTAATTACTCAACGTTCTTGTGACTACTGCCAATGACTGTTTATCCGCGCATCCTCATCGGTTCAGTTTTTGTTCAGATTTCAATTTGAAGAAACGAATTTATCTAATAGGTTATAGAATGCAATCAGTTAAGAATATATACTTATCTGTTATTTACATGAAACAGTAACGAACAATATTAAATAAATGAAGTGAAATTGAAACCTAGTTGGTAGTTAAATTCTATGTATTCAGTGATCTGACAGTTGTTTGTCTGAACCATACTGAAACTCACATTTTCTTTTAGCTTGATTTATCAATTCAAGTGCGAAAACGTAGATCTTCAGATAATAGATATTATGGAGAGCAAGAGTTTAATTACTCAGTATTTTTTAATTATGGATGAAAAAATAAAAAGTATGAGAACTAGGTGGGACCTGTATTTAAGATATCGATCTGTGAATTATCAATCAGAAAGTTTACTAGCCCTATCTAATTTTCATACACGTATCCCAGCTCTCAACATTATTGCTATATAATAAGTGATATAAAGGTCTGTTACATAAGCCTATTTTAAAATGGGTTTCGCGGAATCAATTGCAGTTTCTTGGGTTTTGTGATATGAAGAAAAATTTCCATGTTAAATAAAAAAAGGGAAAAACCTCTTTTCATACTACAACATCGATTTTTTCGCTTACTTGCTAGTCTTCGAGATATAGAAGGTTGAAGTAATCGATCTTTTTCGGGTGAAGTTTTCAAAGATATCCATACAATATCAGCTATTTTGTTGCCTAATCGATTAGCGTTGATTTGTAACAAATAATCTGTTTTTCTGATATTTGCATTTTTACAAATAAATACATTTTGCCTAATGTTAGTATTATAGATTATCTTGTGGAAAGTGAAACGCCAAATTGGACAATGAAGACGAAATTTACATAATCGTCTCATGCAATCATTGGCTGATAACGATTGACCAGAAAATCGACAAAATCTTGCTAAAAGTTAACATTCAAAGTACAACATAAACAATAACAGAAAGTATAGCGAAAAACAAAAAAAATTACACTAATATTATTATTTGATTCAAACGGACGAGTAAAGAAGAAATGACAAACAACGAAAGCTATGTTTTGGGATATTGTCTCGCTCAATTCAACATCTGTAAAGTGCTAAGATTTAGTTTCGTGTCTGCTTTACTCAGTAAATTTTAAGCTTTCGTTAGATGAATGGACTACTCCCATACACTTTTCTATTCTCAGAGTTTTGCTAAGTGATAAAGTGTGTCAAGGTCGTAGAGTAGCTCAAAACAACTCTCTTTGCCCTTCTGCTTATTAGGAATGGACGAGTAGACATACAGATCAAGGTCATAACATAACTATTACTGTTTCAGTAATGGTTCTACGTAAGGTATTGTTGAGATAACGATGAGTAAATTTACATATCGTTATTGTTGTTGGTTTTTTTTTCGTTATCGTCATCATCATACAAGTAAATGAACACGAATTTCGACAAATAACTAGATTGAATCAATTGCCAATTCACCAGCTTGGTAGAAATCCAATTCAACCTAATAAGTAATTCATATTACAAACTGATATCAGCTGATTGAAGAATATATTGAACACTAGGCACAAAGCACTAGTATTATACTCACCATATGAACCAGAAGTCTTGAATTTGAATCTGTTGAGTGAGGAGAAGGGAACTGCTCATGCTTTTTCTTACAGAATTTCAAATTAAAACAAAATAACCCCGTAGTAATTATTTTTTGTTTGGTGTCAATTCGTGGTAAAAGATAGTTTTAGATTGTTTACATTTAAAATTTTAGCAAAGACCTGAATAAACCAATAAATTAATGTTCAAGTCATGTAATGTTATTTATATTATAAATGAATTTAAAAACTTACGTGGACTATTATTTTTGGGTAAAGTAATTGCTAAACTAGAATGTACTTCAATCCCAAGCCACTTTATAGGGACATCTATATAATACAAAGAAAAGGATACATAAGTGATTACAACACAATGAATACATATATCTTAAAGTAAGACCTCTCACTTTATACAAAATATTATTATTAAGAAGATAGTAAAAACAATGAAGAATAATGCTAAATGGAATAAATATCTGTGAATGACAGTGGTCCAATACTTCGTATGTTGATTGGACAAATTAAGAAGAATTCAATCAGTAATAAAGGACTATAAACATGATAATGATTACTGATCAGTGATCAATCCATTGTAAATATATCACTCATACAGGAGGTCAGTAAAGGTCCAAATGAATGATGAATGCGCGCGTGTATGTATATAAATTTCTTTCTTTGTAAATCAGTCAATAACTTCGCCTATTTTTTGATTACAAAAATAAGGAGTTAGATAATAACATCACTCATTATTCAAACTATTCTTAAAGGTCATTCATAATAATCACGATATGATATATTGATCAATATCAAATGTATAAACAACAAATCATAATAAAGCTCATCCAAAATCTTAGTTTTGTTCATTTTTCTACTGATCTAGTTTGATATAACCAACTTATGAACTATTCGACGAAGAGATTTTTCTGCAATACAATGAGATAAATAATTTTGCTTGTAACTGTTATATCCCGATAAGAATAATGAATGGTAATTCTTGGGATCTATTTATGGACCAATACTATGAGTGTATTTTTATCGTATAATTGTTATGTAACTAAACTGTTCATATTCATGTCGCTCTTATAATAAGCTTTAATTTGACCCATAGACTATTTCTATACGATTTACCATTCTTGAGTTATGGCCTGTCTATTTACTACTATCTCCCTCATTCACAGCCACTTTGGGCCAAATATTGTACACATGTTATTTTCTATTTTATGGTACGTTGTGGTCTGTTTGATTGGTATATAAGCCCCGTATGTTTGAAATGAATGATTCATGCTGCAGAGACTGAGATTGGTGTTCTGGACTCGAGTGGTTGGGCTAGACAGGGGAGCAAGACCAATCAGGACTCTAGGCTGCTCGCACGTGTTTACGTGTCACTGGTCCAATCGATAATTCGCTGCTCTCTGATTGGCGGTATCGTTGCGTTATCCAATATACAGGGCACGCAGGTACACAAGTTATAACAGTAACTAACGTAAAACGAATAATTTTTGAATTTAAAAGAGTATCAAGTAGTCACTTTCACCTTACCTATTAAGCTGGATATCGACAGTGTTTATTCTTGTGATTAAAACACGAATTTTAGCGAAGGGATCTCTTTTCAACGAATTTATTATCAAGCTGTACAATCGTATATGTATGAAAATTTTGTTTTAGTAAAAGTACTAATTCCGTGAGGAAATGTGAACACAGTTAATAAAAAGAGGGTTACAATACTAGATTACGTAATATGAATAATAACAATAGATTTAGTGAATAAAATAAGATGATTAAAATGTTTTTGTCATAATTAAAGGTCATAGAGGTGTAAAAAAATAAAGTGATATGATGAGCGTTTATGAATAAAACAATGAGGATATAAGACATAAGTAAAGGGGGAATGCAGTAATAATAATAATAATAATAATAATAATAATAATAATAATAACAATAATAATAAAATAATTAATAATAATTAATAATAATTAATAATAATTGGGTAATCAAAATGCTTAAGGCCAAGGTAACGATAACGATAAGATGTGCTTCTTTTGTACGCATAGTTCTGGTTTAAGCTACTGGATGGTAAGAGCTTCGACTATTTTTAAAAGTTGGATGCGAAGAAATCTGGGTAGATTTGAACGAATCATATAAACAACCTTAAATTCATTTTTTTGGATCTGTAGAATGGTTACAGTCGACTAGGTTTTCAAGTATAGAACTCCTAACTGCTTTCCTTTCCCCTTTATAGAACCAAGCTGGAATATGTTCCCGTATCCGAGTTGAAAGCGAGCGCTGGCTACGGCCAATGTACCTTGCTCCACAAGGGCAGGTGAACTGGTACATGCACATGGAGGCGACCAGACGCGGGAGCTTGTCTTTTATGGACACAGAAAATAAGTTCCTACTCGTGAAGGTTATTCACAATTTAGCTGCATTAAACGTTCTTCTAATAGTTGTTGTTAGACGATTCTTGATTACGTCTGATGTTCGATCACCTTTAGATTCCAGACTTTTTTTTATTAACTGTGTTCACATTTCCTCACGGAATTAGTACTTTTACAAAAAACAAAATTTTCATATATATACGATTGTACAGCTTGATAATAAATTCGTTGAAAAGAGATCCCTTCGCTGAAATTCGTATTCTTGTGATAACTAGTAACTAATTTGGAGATGAATTCTTTTGATAATAAAAAAAATAACAAAATAAATACACATTTTTCATTGACCTAATTTTTATAATGATATTTTTCTAATAGAGGGCAGTTGAAAGAGGAAAATGTAACGTAGAGATTATTTAAAATCTTTAAACTTTACTTGAGTCATATAGATTAGTTTGCAATTTTTGTTCATTCAATAATAATCCATAAGAGTTAAGTGCTGAAAACAAGAAAAACATAAAGAGAAATACAATGAATACTTATACTCAATTGAAGAAATTATGATGTAATATATATATATATATATATATATACAGTGATAAATTAATTTTTCTGATAAAATGAAATCTTTTATACAATCTATATTTCAGATTAATTAAAAGTTGATTGATTTTAACTAAGTTATGATTATTGATATAAAAAAAGAATTTATAGCGTTGATCACTGTTTGATTGATAAGACATTGTAAAAATATAAATGACATTAAGTTCATAAGTTCAGTATCAACAGACTGAAAAGGACACCTGATCAAGATGCTAAAGAAAGGCGATCTCAGCAAGTGTAATAAATACAGAGTCATCATTCTTCTCTTAACACCAGGAAAAGTCTTCAATAAAGTAATATTAGACAGAAAGAACTCCGTAGACGCCCAACTTCGAGACAAACAGGAAGGATTCCGTAAGGATAGGTCTTGTACAGACCAAATCGCAACTCTACGGATCATTGTGGAAAAATCACTTGAATGGAATTCACCACTCTATATCAACTTCATTGACTACGGGAAAGCATTTGATAGAGTGGACAGGAAAACACTATAGAAACTCCTTCGACACTACGGAGTGCCTGGGAAGATGGTCAATATCATACAGAATTTCTATGATGGATTGAACTGCAAAATCGTGCATGGAGTACAATTGACAGACTCGTTCGAGGTAAAGACCGGTGTCAGACAAAGTTGCTTACACTCACCTTTTCTCTTTCTCCTGGTGATCGACTGGATCATGAAGACGTCAACACCTGAAGGGAAGCACGGGATACAGTGGACAGCTAGAATACAGCTGGACGATCTAGACTTCGCAGATGATCTCAGCAGCAGCCTCAGCAGTAGGTCTGATTATACACAAAGGGAAAAGAAAGATTCTCCGATACAACACAGCATGCACCAATCCAATCATAATTGACGGAGAAGATTTGCAAGATGTGAACACCTTTACATATTTGGGCAGCATCATTGATGAACATGGTGGATCTGATGTAGATGTGTAGGCGCGGATCGGTAAAGCAAGAGCAGCATATTTACAACTGAAGAACATCTGGAACACAAAACAACTGTTAACCAGCACCAAGGCCACAATTTTCAATACAAATGTCAGAACAGTCCTACTGTATTGAGCGGAAACCTGGAGAACTACGAAAGCCATCATCCAGAAGATACAGGTGTTTATTAACAGTTGTCTGTGCAAAATACTTCGAATCCGTTGGCCGGACACTATTAGCAACAGCCTACTGTGGGAGAAAATAAACCAGATCCCAGAGGAGAAAGAAATCAGGAAGAAGCGCTGGAAGTGGATAGGACACACATTGAGGAAAGTACCCAACTGCGTCACCAGACAAGCACTCACTTGGAATCCTCATGACCAAAAGAGAAGAGGAAGATCAAAGAACACATTACGCCGGGAAATGGAGACAGATATGAGGAGAATGAACAACAATTGGATCGAACTAGAAAGGAAGGCCCAGGACAGAATGGGTTGGAGAATGCCGGTCGGCGGCCTATGCTCCATTGGGAGTAACAGGCGTAAGTAAGTTTATGGCTACATGTTCAACTATTAATAATGATTACTGTCAGTATACCTTATTACAGTATACTATCGAACATGAGTAAATCTCTAACCAACTTCAAGAATTTATTAGTCAATAAGTATACAGGTTGATTTTCTTAAGTTCAATTAAATAAAAATGATGAATTGTGAATGCATATAGAGTTTCCACATTGTTTACATATTCGGTAAATAAATGATGACAGAGAGAAATAAAGTAGTAAGATTCAGTTAGTATCAAAAGCATTTCGAATTATATGAATAGAGAACTGGACAGTTTGATATGACCTAGGTTGAAAAAGCAATATTTATGAATAGGTGAATTGTAGCTGGAGTTATTTTAATTTCGGAATCATTGTAATTTCAACTGATTTTCATAATTACATAAGTTAAACCCAATACTGTCAATTCAATAAATAAATTGAGGGACTGATATGGACTTAAACTTCAAACGCACATTTGTATATAGACATGATGCTCACCGTGACTGATTAGGTCCCGTGTCTCAGTGGACCGACTATTGTGAACCTATAACCTAAACATTATCTACTTCAAATCCTAGTATTTATTTGAATCCACGTACCATCTATTTTATTATCAAAATGTTCTATCAACTTTGGAGAGAACAAACATAATTCATCTTCATTTTAATATCTTATGATTAGCTTATCCTCACTCATAATGTAATTCATTTATCAAGTAACCCGCTTTGATCTGTACCGTTTTTATGTGTTTGTGATGTTTTTCGGCTCTTTAAACCCCAACAGATTTTATGAAGATGGGATATTCTATCTAAGAACCAAAAATAGAGTATTTTATAAAACCGGTCCACCTCCATAGTTTTCATGAATTTGTTTTCTTGATAGAAATTTAAAGATAAAGCAGATGTATAGTGGAGATCAGCTTAATTTGCAAACTTTATTCATCACGGATGGGATACTAGTGAAAATCAAGAAATATTGAAAAACTTTTCCATCCTATGGAACCGTTTGGCTCATAGCTGTACACTCTTGGGTAGTCCCATGCTAGGATGAAACAGGTATTCGGTGATCCGATGGTACCCCAATTGAGACTATTCAGTTGCGCATATAAACTAATTATAGAATATGAATGTATCAAATCTTGGGGGAAATCGATGATTTGATGACATCAAAACTAGATCATAACTCCTTAAACACACTAAACAATATATAAACAGGATAATTATTAACAATATATTATTAAATCTTTAATCAATGCTCAATTTATTTGAAACTATCAAGTCCAATCGGGGTACTGATACCTATAGAAAGGAAAATTAATGCATAACCAGATTAAAGCAAAAGACTATTTTTTTTTCGAAATGGAGAAAAATATTGTCAGAACGGGTTTGTGGAGATTGTAGTAATTTATTAGTTGAATTCGTGAGTTTATCTAAGCTAGACCAACGTTGAAAACCTGGAAGCACTGGACGGCTGTTTCATCCTATTGTGGGACTCGTCAGCAGTGCGTACCCACGAAATAAAACATTCAAGGATTTAAAAAAATATGATATTTTAATCATAACAGTAAATATTCCTCACAAGTGTTTATTCTCTTTATTAAATTTTGTAATTCAATTTTAGATGTTGATATACACAGATAATCGTCTAAATAACGTAGAATAGTTGAACATTTACTTAAATGAATATCTGTTGTTTTAAACACATCATTTTGTAGGAATTTGTGAGGAGACCAAAGAATAGTTTGTGTTCTATGTAATTGACGATCCAAATGAGCTAAATAGATATTAGCCAAATCTGAACTAATACACGATCCTTGGGGAATACCTTTGATGAACGAATATAATTTTCCATCAATCTGTTAATAGATTTTGTTTAAAAAAGGTCAAAAATATATGTTTATTCATATATATAGTTATTAGTAGCGATTTAAATAAACCCGTTAGCTTTAGAAAGAGAAGTACTGGGTTCTAGTCTCGATCTGAATATCGCCACGGATTTGGGAACAACCAACTGAGGAGTTTTAAGTAAGAGGAGACGCATGTCGTGAATTTCGCTGTGAGCTACAATATACCTATTCTATAGTACTCATAAACAATAACGTTTTATTCTTATGATTCATTCCTACTTTTATTGCTGTGATTGTCGGTCTGTGATAGAATTGTCTTATCACATAGACACTTTTTATAATTTAGCGATGATGAACATTTTCCGTTAGCATACATTATACATGAACAGGCTATTGAAAATCGAAATTACGATAAACAGGTATGATTTTGAAATTAATTTTGATCTATTGTTCGTGATTTGAGTTCAACATATGGCCTAATCTTTTACTGTCAAGTTCAAAATAAGGATGTAATAACTATCTAGGTGTTATAATCGAGGAAACTAGTGCTTGGAATAGGAAGACACTGAGATTTTGCACAACGTAGGGAACAAAACAAAACCTGATGGCAGATGAAGATTCTATTCCTTCTTCAAAAACACGACGACCACGTTTATTATACAGATTCAGTTGTATACAGATTCTACTGACATCTGATCATTAGTCATAGAATATCATTTACAACCGAAATGATAGGAATCCAACTGGACTTCACGCCGAAGTTATACAACCGTATGTTATAATGAGTGAATTTCACAATGAATTAATACAAACGATGGTAAACTAAATATATATCGCATTTATTTCAAACGTAATTTCGTTTTTTACACTAGTAATTGCTGATATTCAATGAGTTTACACTAGCCAACATTATTTCGTGATGCCGTTTACCTTATAAGATATGAAATTAACCATCAAAAATCTCAACTATTTCTGAAAGGAACAAATATACACATCAAATAACTTTATAAGAATTATTATTATTAATACTAGCAATGAATCGGTTAAAACATACAGAAATGATGGATTCTTTTAAAAACCATTCCAATTCACGAACAAGGAAATGTATATTTGGTGTTGGATACATATAATTGCTGACCTTGAAAATGAAGGAAATGCATAAAGTACAGCGTCTTTTTATTATATTCCTAAATAATATAGTACTGTTCATACCAGGTATTTGTTCTAACAGGAAATAAATCAGATACTATCGAATAATGAACCCGTGTTAGAAAAAAAAGTTGAACATAATCAAACACAGAATGTTTCTGTTATACGTATTGTTATTTATTAGTAGGGTTTGCTAGACCTTTTTGAGACATTTATTTACCTATCAAAGGCCAAGTGTGCTTCATAGCAGTTCTTTTCATACTCATTTCTATGTGTAACACATGGCTTATGAGAAAATGTACAATCTCTTAGCTTTCCCATAGTAGACATCGAAACATAGTTAGCATATGATCAAACAAGCGATCGATGCTGATATTAGATGTAATGTATAGAGAAAACTGATGATTGTGACACCGCCTCGTAAAATGCTTTTAGTCCATAAAGTCAGTTTCTGATGGACTGAAACATATAGGGACGTGTAAATGTTTAGAGTGAGATTTAAACACAATGGTATTCCGTAATTACAGCCTTCAGGTGACAACAGCAAAAATGCATTTAGTTATCTAAATCTTTGATTTCAATGTTAGTTCATGGTTATCATATTACGCTTTTAATTTACTCTCTATGTTTAGTTTGCCAGCACCATGGATATCGTCATTATCATTAAAATTTAACTGAGTTTGTTTTTCATCCTGGTAAATTTTTCTGAAAGTGTTAGTTTTCGAACAGAAACATATACATGTCAGATTCCATGTTGTTTACTAACTGATCAAAGAGACAAAAGACTATTAAGAAGCAAAAAATATCATCAAGTATCGTTGTAGTGTGTTAATGTAGTGAATATTTTATATAATCTGACCGTAAACCGTACATAGAAACGAAGTAAAGTAAAACAATATATTAGATTGTGAAAATATAAAATATAAAAAAATTGTGAAATGTATGGTAGGAAAAAGAGTAATAGATTTGGATATCATGCATATAAAAATGTTCTGAAGAATACTAAATCAAGTTTAAGGTGAGAATAAGGTTTATGAATAGGATTATGTTCTCTCAGAATCATTCTCAATGTCTCTTCAACGATCGATTCCTTTGTATGATTAATTACGGAAGACAATGCATATTTTATAACTATTCTTATCAATAAGGTGCCATATATTTAAATTATTATTACCATGTGAACTAAAACATTACTACATATTATACTGTAATTCAAAACTACTGCCTGCCATTTTACACTGAGTGTACTAGTGAATACAAATAGACACACATACAAAAGGGGAAATAATTAGTGATGTAACCAACAATTGTAAAATATATAACTAAAAAGCATCAAGACCAAATGGAGTCTTAGACTTGGATAACTAAGTACAATTGACAGACAAACAAAATTATCTACTGCCAAAAAAAGGACAGTTATAAAAGTTCGTCAAAAAAAAACCCTAAGAGATTTAAAAATGGTACAAAAGCATTTTTGAACTTCATTCTTTCCGATTATTATTCTCAATAAAAATGTACATTATTTTAACCAATTATTACTCAACATTCAATATCACTTTAAACATTTTATTAATTTTCACTTACATCATTTAAAGTATCAGAGAAAACTTCTAGTAATTTAGAATGAATAATTTGATTGAAAAAATCCAAAATATCTAATTTTGCAATCCAAAATCTACAAACACAAAAGAAATTAATATTGAAAACTATGAAACATCATGAGCATATTTCTACGTTTGAGCATTTGTGTTTGAAGAAAAAGGAGACGATTCTGTTGTGTGTTTTTTGTTGGAAAAGGCTAGCTTATACTTTTGACTCAGTAAATTCGTTCTTTATTTTAGAATCACATTGCTTCTGCTTAACATATTACAATACTTTTGATATTGTTACTATTCCCACTACTCTGGCATTTGTCGTGGTACCTTCATCTCACTATGTTGATATAATATGACAACTTTAAGCGATGAATATACATGCGAGATCCTACGTTGTTGATTATTAAGATTTGACTGATAGAAGTAAATCTATAAGATTTATGTATTGATGGTATGAGAATACAGTGAAAAAGTCAATTTTTCAGATATTTATAAGCGGTTATACTACATCAAACGACCAATTTTTTTTAATAAATACTTATAAATAACTATTGAAATAATTTTCAATAAGTTGTAATTTAGTGTCTATCGATATCTGATCTCGCTTAAACAGCCATTGAAAACCAGGAAACAAAAGACAAAAGGGATACCTAAACAGTGTGCAACCATGCCAGTCAGTCACAACGTAGAACCTGGTACGTAATATATATTGGTTCAAGTTACTATTCTTAAATAAGGGTAAAATACATATCAATAACGTCTGTCAAACAACAATGGGAAATATCGAATCAACAATCTTATTTAAGCGAAAATAATAGAGATTATGAAATTAATTGATAGTTTTTTAATTCTCAAAGTTAAATCATGCCTCGCATCGCAGAATAGTCCTATTCATACAACTGTCTTTTGTTGGTGTTGTTATGGTCTATATTTCAGGACTACTATTCAAAGGTTGTCTAGAAATTTAAATATAATTATCAAGATTAAACGATCTACCATTTCCGTGTTTTATGTATATGAGTTAAGAAAGTGAAAGAACATAAAATCACGGTAAAAGAGTTTTCCAGTTTCGATTTATTTGAACGCATCTGTATTTCGAATGGTTCAGTACGGCCGAGAGTGTATAGAGACTAAGCCCCTCTCGAAATACTATCTTACGGCCACGTGTTTAAAACCAATATAAAGGAAGTCCTGCTCATTGGCTTCTGGTAGAAAGGATGTCGTAAACTAAAGTTAAAGAAAAACCGTACGTCAGGCATCCAAACTGAGTTGGTCACTGCCGAGGATGAACCTAAGAGAATCGGGAAACTTTGGTTTCAAACAAATGGTACACATAGGCTCTGTGACCATGAGAAGTTGAACGGCTTACGATTTATATTTGGTAACCGGTTATCATGTAATCGGATGCCCTGACGTTGTTCCACTGTATTTTGGAGTAGACATAGTAAGCAAAATAAAAACAAACAACGAGGTTTATGTTTTTCGTGCTTATTATACTCAAGCAGATTATTTTGATTTCTCTAGACAAACCTTAATGATAATCTAAAACTGGGGAAAATTGATCATTTTTGGGAGATATTCAGCAAATATGTACTGAATTTCGAAGTACATTTTTTTGTACGCGAAAAAACTGATGGTTGTAAACAGTTGTTCAGACGGAAGTTAACGACGCAAGAGGATTCGAACCTAAGACTTTTTGGTTATAAATCAAGTGTTTTAAATAATAAACTACCATTATATATTGTCCGAGGGTAAGATATTTGTTTCGTTTATAGACATTTTGAAGAAAGTTTAAGTATTGAGAGTATCCCAATTTCTGTCCAATAAAGGAATCGTTGGATATATATTCAAAACATTGATCTAAACAACCTAACTTATATATGTGATAGATTTAGTTTAAAGGCACATGATCATGCTATTTTCATTCGATACAATAATAAATCTTAAGTGTAATTATTATTATTTTTATTTCCTAAAGCATTCTTCATCATGGATGTAGGTCAGTTAAGATTTATACATGAGATAGGATTCAACAAATAACTTATTTTAGATTTCAAAAAAATCAACAGATCAGCCAAGTAAACAGTAGCCAAACAATAAAAAAGGAATTCTTTTTCTACTGATGAAAAAACTAATAAGTGATAGCATCAGAAAACAAAATTGAACAAAAACAAAGTTTCCACAAATATTAATTCGTAACTATGTATTGAAAAATAGTCTAAGTTGAGTCAATATGATAGTGATGAGGTTCTTTGAACATACATATATATTTCTGTCAAATCCCCGGCTGACTGTAAGTGACTGTGTAACAGACAAGAATTTTTTAAGGTAAAATAATGTATTCAATCTAATTGTGCTAAATAAAATACAGTTTAATATAAAAAGTACTTTAAAATGTAATCAAAACATAAAAATCCTTCTCAAGGTTATACAGTTATCTTACATAACACAGTTTACATTGGGGACTGATCTTAGTCAGATAATCAAAGAAAACCAGCAATCACTGTAAAGCTGTTTCGTCCTAGCGAGGGCTCATCAACAGTGGGTATCTACGGCTCATTTGCAGACTTGGTCCAGCATATTCATGTTATGTAGCGAGCACTTAAACTTTAAACTATTTCGCTGGTATTCAATCGTTTACATGCCTAACTTTAAACGATTAGAGAAATTGTGCAATTATCGACCAATGTCATTAGTGGATAATTCCTTATACCAGTGATGTAAACTATGAAATCCAAAATTCTCCACAAATTCCCTACGATAATATAAATATATTATTTGAAGCAAAACGTAACATAAAGGTAATTTACCAGTATTTAACTTACCGACGAAATCCTAGTGAATAAACAAGTGAACGAAATGATAATAAAGTTTTAAATGCAGATTTTGTCGATAATAAAGATGGTGCATAAATACCTGGTAACTGAAAATAAATCAAAATATTGGAAAAGTGTCAAGCTTGGTTAACTGTTGGTTAATTTGCCATGTGAAATAAAAATTGTGGATAATTGAAGCAATTAAAATTAATCTGAGAATTGCTTATTTTGAAGAAAAAGGAATACGTTTTTGAAAAAGAGATGTTACATCATTTACAAACATCAGTCAATATAGTAATGAATTCTGCTTGCTTATAGCGTAACTGTAAATATTTGAAACAGTTATGTTTAACAGATCATTTAGTAAAATAAGATATAGTTGATGATGAGTATAGGAAAGAAACCGATAGTAAAATGAATTATACCAATAGTCTTTGAAAAAACCACTAAAAATCGTTCTAACTTTAGCTGGCAACGTGCAAATAAACACTTTTAGGATATGGGAAAGACACCAGTGAATAAAAAAACACGACACTGGTCACCAGTTAAGGTCAATATCAATGCAAATATCAGTTCGACATGCGGTCAGTGATGATATCTTAAACTGGGAAGCTGGATGACCAAGAGCATCAATATTCTGAAGGTTTAGAGGACGTCTTGCTGAAGAGTGACAACTGGTATGAAAGTCCAGGTTCTACTGTCAACTACTTTAAACCACTTAACATCAAAGGCGAGTATTACCAAATATTTACAATATTTCTCATAAACAGAACTATCAGAACAATCAAGGGTTTCATTGTAGAGTCTAAATAAATTTCAGGGATAAATAATCAGAAATAAGCCTGTAAACTTGTGACATCTATTGTTGATTATATATTAAAACACAACACTGTTAAGTACCAATGCAATAAATGACTGATAAAGAAGGCTAGTACAGATCACAATTCTCTTTCTCAAAAGTGGTCTCATGGATGTTTTGTAAGATTCGTTAGCAGTATTCACTATAAAGTTAATGAACGATTCTATTGACGAATGATTACTATTTGCAGATAAATTTTACAAAGTTCTGCTAAGGAATGTGAATTTGCACAGTCAATCATTTGAAAAGTAAGATAATAACTTATGAATGATGTTAGATGACTATTGTACAACAACACAAATCAGTAGGAAGTAAGTGAATAGTCTAGATCATTTTAAAGATACTACACTTACTGCAAGATTTGTAAATACTACATTTAATGTAATGTGAGGAAGAAAGTTCACATTTCTAAGGAATTTCAAACTAGAACAAAACAATGAATGTGAATTGATGGATTGATAAAACTTTTATTCAGTTACATCGTTGAGTATTCTAACAATAACGTTTTTTTTTAAAATAAAGTAATGTATAATTCATGTCCATCTATATTTAACTAGTAGTCAAACATGTAGAACATGGACAAATTAATATATTTGCAATATCCCAATGAGTAGAAAAATTAAATTTTATGACATTTCGTGACTCAGTTTATGTCACTTGTTCAAAGAGTAAATAATTCGTTTATTTGTTCTCCGAAGGAGTGTCTTACACTAAGTCACGAAACGTCAGAAAATCTAATTTTTCTACTCATTGGGACATTAAATATGTATTAATTTATTTATAACAATCTACTCAATACTTAATTTATTCGTAATTATCAAGTCAAACCATAATAATGATACCTATTTAGAGGATAGTTAATTAATTCAGTGAAACTATATTATATTTTAATAAGTATTGAAGGACAGAGAAAAAACAAACAAACTAAAATGTATAAATCATTACTTACTTCAATTTTTAATTTTCTAAGAAATTCAAATAAACCATTATTTAATTTTAAACGTTGATTAAGACTTAAACAAGGTTGAATTGAATATTGAATATTTGAATTTAATTCTGTTTGATTAATTAAATTCTTTAATGATAATAAATGATAATTAGCATTAATAACTAAACGAAAACCTTTTCCAAATGCTTTCATAGATAAACGTCCAATACTATATGTTAATATATAAGTTTTATTAATAGTTTCATTGGAATAAATTAATGACATTGAATTATTATTAATTTTATTTTGAATTATATTATTCTTAATCAAATCTAAATTAAAATCGAGAAAAAAATAAAGAAATTGAATAATTGATTGATATGTAGAAAAAGTGAATACTTGAATGTAAGTTAAATTTCAAAAAGTATATTTTAATGTATATCAACTGACTGGATTAAAAGTTATTCAAGAAGATTCTAATGGTAGGTCGCTCCCAAAATGCCCTGGTACGGTCGAGAGTGGGGAGAGTCCACTCTCCCTCTCGAAATGCTCTCAAATGGCCACGCGTATATAGCCTCTGCCAGGGAAGTCCTACTCATTGCGTTATCGTGGCGGGGTGTTGTTTACGAAATTGAGAGGACAAAGAGTGAATGTCCGGCTTTTTAACCGGGTTGGTGAACATGGAGAGTCTACCTAGGGGAGTTGGAAAACCATGATTCCAAACCAATTGTGCACATGGGCTCCAGTATCCTGAAGGAACAAATGGCGTATGAACCAATCGTTGGTCACTGGCTACCATGGGAACGCATCTCCTTACGTTGCTCCATTGCTTTGTGGATCAGACCTTCAGACAGAAGGATCTGTGTGTGGCCCCCTAAGAAAACCATCTGCTTCGGTTTGGGCACCCAGACAGTATCACAGTCCTCACACATATCAAATCAGATTTGTGTGGCGCATATGTATTTGGTGCCTCCTTGTACCAATATCTATGTGTTAAAATAAATAAATAAATGGTAGGTCTAAACTACATCCTTTAAATTCACGTCCAGTTATATTCGGATTTATTAGATTGGGGGTTTGTGAAGATTGTAGTGATTTTAATAGTTGAATTTATGAATCGACTTAAGCTAGATCTTAATTGAAAATCTGCAAGCATTGGACGGGCGTCTGATCGTAGTATGGGACTCCTCAGAAGTGCACATCCACGATCTCGAACCCAGGAACTTCGGTCTTGTGCACGAACGTTTAACCTCTAAACCACTGAGCCAGAATCTAGCAGTGTTAATGTCTAACTTCGATTGATCTATGATTTTGCGCTGCTAAGGAGTCCCATACTAGGATGCAAAACGTCGTCCAATGTTTCCAGTTTTTTAATGGTGATCTAGATTGGATTGACTCATGAATTCAACCATTAAAATATCAGAATTTACTTGAAAATTCCTCTCCTTTTTTGATACAATACAATTCTTGGATTTTTTTTTCAGCTATTTACAATTTAAAATTCTAATCTTATTCATCAAAACATAAATGAATATTTTTCATAAACTTTAATGTACGAATTCTTACTCTTGAACTTTAATTAACTAGTCTGTATTACATAATTAATGTTTGGTTTCGAGAGTAATTTATTTTTCTGTTTCCATGGCCTTCTAGAATGTTCATATATTTAAGTCGAAAAATGAAACAAATGTTTGAAAAGTAATAATACTTCAGTATTATTGTGATAATAGATATTATTCCATTTCCATATATTAACTGAAGTTATTCTAGAAGATCCTGACATTTGTTACGTTTTAATAAATAGTAATAAGGCTTTAATGTGTAAATAGCTGAGAACAATCCACGAAGTCAATGAATTCATGTTGGTCTACTATGATATTTGTTTTTTTTTTTAATTTAATTTTATAAACGTCAAAAATTATATGAAATTATCATCATACTTTACTTAGGTAGATGAGTGAATTTCAAAGATTGTATTAATGCAGAGAAGGTTTTCATTATGGGTATATGTATATTAGTAAAATATTATAACTCATGAAGTTTAACAACATAGTAAGTGATACAGTCATCACTGTTGTATTCAAACAACAGTCAAGCTTCACTAGGAACTGATTGAAATATTAATTAGTAAATTACAACTCAGTTATTTATTACTATCAATAAGATCACCGCAAGAGACTTAAATATATTGAGTTTAATACTTAGCAGTGATATGTATGTACTATGTTAAGATGTCTCCAATTACAACGAAATTACTAACTAGTATTGTTTACTTTTCATTAGCTTGATTCATGATGAAAACTGCTTAAAAAAATCTATCGTTTACTATAACATATTAATTACTAACTAACTTAAAGGTAAATCAAACTGAATTAGAAAAAAATTATTACTTACCAGTGATAAAATCAGTACTCAGCTTTTTCCAACTTTCATGTGTGAAATAAGCTACTGTCGGTACAACAGTATTAAATTCACACCATCGAAAATATTTCTTAATAATAATATTGATTATGATTAAGCAAAAAAGAAATATTATGCCTTACTTTCAAGTAAAAGACAACTAAACCACTTAATAAAGTGTATACAAGTGAATAAAAATAAGGTCGCCATATTGAAGATCTATCATTAGGCACCTAATAATGACAGAAAAAGTAAACGTGTTTGTAATATATATATGTATAAATTATAAAAAGGTAAAAGGATTTATTTGACTCAATCAAAATGAACTTTATATCTTATCACAGAATCTTGTATAGACAATTATTTATAAATACTTGTACCTTCTTGATGATGGCTGTAGTAGTTCTCCACGTTTCAGCTCCGTACAGTAGAACTGTCTTGACGTTCGTATTGAAGATTCTGACTTTGATGTTGGCTTGCAGACAGTTGTTTTCAGTTCCATATGTTCTTCAACCGTATGAATGCGACCCTTGTTTTGCCAATCCTCACTTTTACGCCTGCATCCGAACCTCCTTGTTCATCAATGATGCTGCTATCAAGGTATGCGAAAGATCCTGCATCTTCCAGGGTTTTTCCATCAAGTGTGATTGGGTTGGTGTTCTCCGTGTTGTATTTGAGGATGTTGGTTGTATGTTAAGACCTACCACCATAGAGGCTGCTGCTACACTAGTTGTCTTCATCTGCGCTTGCTCGTGTGTATGGGATAAAAGAGCCAGATCATCTGCGAAGTCCAAATCGAATAGTTGAATCCAAGCTGTCCATTGCATTGCGTACTATCTCTGAGATCTGGAGGTCTTCGTAATCCAGCCAACTATCAGAAGAAAAAGAAATGGGGAGAGTAAGCAGCCTTGTCTGACTCCGATCCTCATTTGGAATGCGTTTGTCAGCTATCTTCCATACAAAGCTTTGCAGTGTATTTCATCGTATGAATTCCAGATGATGTTGGCGATCTTCTCAGGTACACTATAGTGTCGAAGAAGTTTCCAGAAGGTCCTCATAGTTCTCATAGTCAAAGGAGTTGATGTATAGTGATTGCTCAATGATGATCTGTAATGTCGCTATTTGGTTTGTGCACAACCGATCCTTACGGAATCCGGTCTGTTGATCTCACAGTTCAGCATCTACTGAATCTTTCGTCCGGTTCAGAAACACTATGCTTAAAACTTCTCCTGGTACTGGCAGTAGTGTGATGCCTTTGTAGTTCTCACATTTGCTCAGATCTCCTTTCTTTTTCTTGATGAAGTGTCCTTCTTCCCAGTCCGTCGGCACTTGCTCTTCCTTCCAAAGCTTCCTGAACAGAACGTGAAGCATGCTTGCAGTTACTTCAATGTCTGACTTTAGAGCTTCGGCTGGTATATTATCAGGTCCTGTTGCTTTCTCACTCTTGATTTGTCTGATGATCATGATGATATCTTCGATATACAGTTGATTAACGAAAGTTTATTAACGTATTGGTTTTATTTATTATTTACCAACAAATATTTATGTCCAATGAAAGTGGGAATTAGATAAAAGACTTTATTTCTTTCATCTCGAATTAGCTGAATAATGGCGTGTACTAATATTATAACTAAAGAATATTAAGTACAGATTTGTTTATTGAATTACTAATTAAACCAATATTAATTCATTAGATAAAGAGAAGTACTTGAGGATTTAATTGGTGTAGAAGTGTATTATTTGAAAATTAAATATTATTTAAAGAAATTATACTGAGTTTATACCATTCAAAGGTAATTGAATAGAAGTTGAAAAAGTACATGATGATGATGGAAATAAGTTATGGTTTCTAATAAAAATACATATAGTGAAATACAAAAATAAACTTATTGAATTAATTGTTAATAAAAGTCTCTGTGTTATAGGAAATAAGCAGAAATAAAAACGATATTGTATAATATAAAACTGGAGAACTAACCGAAATGATCAATATTACTGAACATGCTAGTTTAAAATGTTTAAAAAAAAAAACAACAATAGAATACTTGTCTATAGAAATGATTACTAACCAGTGAACATTTGATACTCAGTGTACGGAAGCCTATATCAACATGTATCACCGAAAAATTCTTCCAACAAACCTATTTGCTGACTAGATTTATAATATTTCCTTTCTTTCTTAAGCTTCAAATGATCATGGATATCAATATATCAAGAAAAGTAGATGAAAGAAATCTTGATTGATTTGGATAGTGGATGGTACTGAAATTCAGGACGAGTGTCTTAACCAGTTTAGGACTTATCAGCTGGATATACTTTCATACCAGTGCTGCTGTGTAGACTAAGACTGGAAACAAGTACCATTTACTTCAAATGTCGACGCTTTATCTACCAAGCTACTGAGTTCAGATAACTGATAATTTATTGACCAGGTATTATTTTTACTAGTAAGGTCTTGCATAGCTTCATTATCGAAACTAAAATGTGTAAAAAAGGCAATATCGAAGTATCTGTCCAAGATGCATATATATTCCAACAATAGTCATGAATGTAAACCACAAGATAATACAAATCTTCACGAATTAATACATCCATAGTATAAGATACAAATTAAAAAGAGTGATTTCAAAGTACAAAAATTAAAACTGAACAACGTACTTTAAATGAGTGATAAATAGAGGATAGTCGAATGCCGCAACCATATTGCATGCTAATAAAATGCTTCAAATGTATTAGAAACAAATGAATGTTAAAGAAATAGTGAATATACTTCAGGAAAATCATATGATATATGATTTAGGACATTATATATTTCTCTGAAAGTAAACTTAATTAGATAGAAGAAAACGACTGAAAATAATTGATATTCACTTGGTATTTTCTGAGTTCTACTTGATGATTCAACTTTTAGTTACTATTATACACAGTGCAAAACAGCACATTCATATAATAATTTATGATATATAACCAAAGGTTAGAGACTGATATTTATTGGATTAAAGTCATATAATTCAAAAGTAACACATTCAATTAGAAACAAATCTGTCTTGAGGTTGAACTTCATAGAAACATCAATCATTTAAGTTCCAAAAAAATACGTTATGACGATAAAACTAAATTAATAAAGGCTTTTCTATTAATAGTTTCTCAATGGTGATGAATCTCAACACAAAAATTTTAATCAAAACTTTATAACCTATAGATTATCAGATAACAAAATAATTTTTCAACAGTACAAATAAAAGTTAAAAAAAACAAACAATAAGACTGTATATTAAAATAAAAATATGATTTTATAATATCAGGTTAGCAACAGTTAATTAATTAAAGGGCCGCATTCCTACAATTGAAGAACATATAGAACTCAAAACAATTTTCAACCAATATCAAAGTCACAATCTTCAATACGAACGTCGAGGCAGTTCTATTGTACGGAGCTGAAACGTGGAGAACTACTACAGCCATCGTCAAGAAGTATTTGTAAACAAGTATTTATAAATGGTTGTCTACGCAAGATACTCAACATCCATTGGCCGGATACCATCAGCAACAGCCTTCTGTAGGAGAGAACAAACTAGCTTCCAACTGAAGAGGAAAATGAGAAAAGACGATGGAAATGGATAAAACATACATTATGCAAATCATCAAACTACATCACGAGGCAAGCCTTAACTTGGAATCCTGAATTGAAGCGGAAAAGAGAAAGGCCAAAGAACACATTACGTCGGGAAATAGAAGCAGACATAAAAAGGATGAATAACAACTGAAAAGAGCTGGAAAGGATTGCCCAAGACATGGTTGGATGAAGAATGCTGATGAGCGGCCTATGCTCCTTCACAAGGGGTAACAGGAATAAGTAAGTAAGCAAGTAACAGTTAATCAAAGAATATAAACAATCAATAATATTTACAAATTAATTAATTTTTATTCAAATGATCAATTATATAAAAAGGATATATTTTAGAAATATATTGAAATTATGATTAGAATAGAAAGCATCTTTAAAACAATCCATATATTTTTGTAATATATTAAAAATCTAAAATAATCATAAAATATAAAATGAATTTTATCAACAATAAATGAACTTATCTTACATAACGATGATTAATTGATTTATTGGATATCGATTTAAAATGTTTACATCTATAATTTTCAATAATAATAATAATAATTATTATTATCATTATATGTCATTATTAATTAAAACATACTTTACAGATAATTTCATCATTTCTTTCAACTGTTCGATATTGATCTCTGATAAAATCAATTGTATGTAAACATTGTACATATTGGCAAACTTTTTTAATGAATTATAGAATAACTGCACAAGGTTTAAATCTATCAGATGAAACACATTATTAAATGAATAATATAATGAAACCTTTTGGAATTGACCGATCACGATAGCATAACATCATCATCACTATTGTAAAAAATGTATTCGGTATACCATACAAATGTACTTTAGAATGAATTTCACAAATGTAGATGAAAGCTATTTGATGGAAAGAGAATGTAAAAAAGAAAACATCAGTTACGTAATAAAATCACTGTGAGATTTAATACATATGAATATAGAGAAGTTTATGAATTGAAAAATATTTGGCAAAAGTAGTATCTTCAAAGTGAAAAATCATATACTGTCGTATTATAATGGTTTTTCATATCTTCATTTCGAATATTTTTTCAGTAACAATAATGAGATCGAACGCCTGACATGAAAGACTGAATTGACCAGTTATTTATAAATAAATAAAAACTCTCCGAAATACTAAGTGTCATGCTTGCTAAATAACCTGAAGATCAAAGATTTGATCTTGTATGAGGCTGTGGGTACGTACTGTTAAAAATAATCCAAACTGTGACGAAACAACTTTTTGGTACTCTTCCAGCTGTTATCACTTTTTGTTTAAAATTTGAAATTTTGATTCATTTCAGGAGTTCCAAATGAAGGATATGGTTTGTGGATTCAATTAAGATGTAAAGATAGGTAGTTATTCATTTTAAAAGAAACAATCAAGGATGATCATAGCGTACCATAAATTGATTAAAATGAAAAATATGAATCACTAAATTAAATCTCAGTGTAATTTGACTGAAATCAAGCAAATGCTAACACATGTACATACATATTTTGTTCAAAAACTCATATATCCACTATGCCGTATGTAGAATGAAATTTTGCGAGTCACTTATTATCTGTTATCAGTAGAAACAGTATTCACCTTGCTATCAACGTTAAGAATTACTTACTAAAGTTGTGAAAGAGATTATTGTCCATACACGTTTCATCTTACATTCAAATTTGTTGTAATACATTACAAATACAAAAGTCACACAAAAAGTCAATATAAATGTTGAATTTCTGTAAAATCAAAGCAGAATTAAAATATTTGATCTCATACGGTGACTAAATATCTTACAATCATTTATCTATTCCAGTTGATGAAGGCTATCCATCTTTGCTTCCATATAATCTTTATCGTGTTGCAACAGTATAGTGAATGGCAACACTCAATCAGTGTCGAATCATTATTTTAAAGACCATAATAACTCTTTTGCTTTCAGTCACTACCCACAATATCACAACTGTAGATATAATAACAGCACGATATCAAACCAACTGGCTGGTTTGTTTTTTAAAAAAGCAACATGAAAACACTACTCCAAGTACTTATTTTCATGTTCCAATAATTCATAAGATGGATACATCACTAAACTATTGTGAGTCAAAAAAGGTTATCCGTACGAATAAAACAATCATTCAAAAGTCGATTGCTCCATTGAAAATTGACTATCACAATCTCAACATATAAAACTATGCAGAGTATTTGTAATATGACGTTGAGCAATCAATCGTAATAAAGAACAACTAATCTATAAACATCTCAATAATTGAAAAATATCATTTAGAAATGTTCTGATGTCTTAACTTCCATATAAATATGCTACCAACTAAGATTATTGGATGAATTTAAGCGGTAAGTGGTTGAAAAGATTAAAAACCAAACCAGTAAGAAATTAAACAGTTTACTAAAACTATATCAGTCAGTATGTATGCTCTTTTCGTTAACATCTAGTACAAGTGCTCAACGTTTATATATATATATATATATATATATATATATATATCACTAAAGGTTATGTTCAAATCACTAGATGAAAACATAATGTATTTTTCCGATAACTAGACACAGAAGCTCTTCGGTTAGAAGTTAATAGTTCAGCTTAACACTGATAATTCGCAAACACAATATTTGAACAGTACCTTGTGCGCAAAACCTAATACTATTTAACTAAAACAGGCGAATGAATAGTTCCATGAAGTTTAATGATGTTCAACAAATGATCGAAACTACTTATTACTACTGAATTTTAAACCACAAAATTTGTGCTCACCAAAAATTAAATTTATAGTGGATAATTTTAATTTGAAATTTATTCTTTAGGAAAAAATCGAAAGTTAGCATCGATATCTGCATTAAAAAAATGTATTTCATTGCATCTGAAAAAAGCTTTTATGTTTGTTATTATTATGGCACAGTAGAAAGGTATATATATGACAACTTATTTATTCAGGCGAAGTTTGATACACTTGACTTTTAAAATAAACTTTTACATGAGAAACAGTGCTACTCCACAAAGTAGCTGAGATTCAAGCCTACAACTTAGTGCTAAAGCTTTTATATATATTTATCAATATTCTAACCAGTCATTTCGCATTATTCTTAAAAAATGACGTGCCAAAAGAACACTTTGTATAAATAAAAGCAATCCTAATTCGAAAAATTATTAAAACTCTAAGTACACTTCAAAATAAGGAAAGCTTAAATATATCAACGTCAGTTCTTTCAATGTTTATTTCGCATATTTTGATTATGTATTCGATAACTCTGTGAACAAAACAGTGAAAAATCAATATTAATGACAACTTTCCAATAGTTTAAAACTACTGATTTTCGAAAAAGATAGATTATCACAAACAATAAAATTCAAGAAGAACATTTCTTCCGATTTGAGACTCGATATCTAGATGTAACTGTATTCTCGTACTGATATTTACATTGAGACTTGAACCTACTATCTTGTTTTATAAAACATAAACGCCAATAACGAGATAATGAAAACGATTAGTAATGATGACCTATACTGATTTTGATTTGTCAAAGTAAGGAATATCTAAAGCTTTTATTTGAGTAGTAGACAAGTTAATATTTAGGTGCTGATTAACCGACTACTGTATAAGATTCAACATTTACTATTATATATGAATTAAAATCAATAAAACAGTGATTACAGTAAAAAGAAATTAATTTTTCTAGAAAAAACGTTTTATTTCTTCTAACAATAATTTTATGAATAAACACAATGATTCACAAATGAATAAATTGGAATAAAATGATTATTTCGCTCAACAAATTAAAATATGTAAATGACAAAAGATGAAACAGGGTTGTTTATAAACATGAGAACAAATCCTTGTTATGTAATAAACGTGCATAATCGCTGACTTGTTTGTACACATACAAAAAAAAGAGAAAAATTGAAGAGAACAGCTGCCTTACAAACATACAAAACTCTCATGTCTTTGTTGTGATTGATTTCATTTGGCATTCTATTTTTCTTAAACCAGCTTTCATTCGAATAATAATAATAAACAACAGAGAATCTCATTGAAGTGTTCAACGTTTTATATTTGACGCACATGATAAAAGAAACAAAACTAAAGAAAAATAAACAGATACAGGAAGAGACGAGAAGGAGGAAAAGAAGAAGAAAGACCGATGCAGATGTTATGAAAACGAAACAAACAAACAACAACAACGACAACAACACACGAAGATAACTAAATTTGACTAAAATTAAACATTATCAAGAAAATGAATGGAAAAAATTTCAAAATAAATTATACATTAAATTAGTGTAATACACAAAGAATTTAAGTAAATTATTGATGATCAGGTTATCTAGCAGATACATTAGTTCAGTTGCTATCACTACTACTGCTATTGATACTAGTAACATTGCACATACTACTATATATTAATAGTAGTAAAAGTACTTCATAATTGGAATGTTTTGTTTTTTCTCATTCATATGTACCATCAATTTTATTGCACATCCAAACCAGTAAAGAAAGTAGGAATTTCACATTAATCCAGAAAAAAAAATGAAAAAAAGTCTATGTAAAGGAAACTAATGTATCCCTAATGTATTTTAAATAAACAAGTACAAAGTAAATCGATTATAATAAACATAGTTCCAACAAGAATTATATCACATTAAAATAAAAATGAGCAAACACAGAGTAAGAAAAAGAAAAGTAATAAAAAGATTCTTAGTTGAAAATAAAACTTTAACAAATTTACAAATAACATATTGAAAACGAACAATAATTGTGAAATAATTAACGACAACACATCCAATACTATGAATATGACCTTATACTAATACATTTCCTGTATGAATCTATCTATATATGTATATATAAATGAAAAGTAGTCGGTTAGTCATAAATTTGCCATAGTTGAAGTTGACAAGTATATGAAAAAACCAAAAATGCAACACAGAAACACTTGATAATACCCTGTAACATGGCAACTATGTCAATAAGGTAGCTAGTGACAACATTCATATATATATTTACCATTGTTTTGGTTTCATTGTTTGCATTTTTTTATTTCATAAACTCAAAGTAACGATCACGCATACATACATCATACACACACTGTGAATTCATATAATAAAAACAAACTCTCTGTATACAACAGAAGTAACACTGCCATGAATAAATGCATTTAAAGAACGGAAGAGAACAGTAAGGAACAATGGATAAATAAATAGATGAACCGAAAAGAACATAGAGGTATGCTGAAACTGAGTAATTATTCACAATGAAATTCAAAAAGTAATACACAGAAGGGAGGAAACAAACAAACAAGATACTAAGAAAGAATAAAAATCTTATACTTCAACAATAAATTCCGGATTAACAAAAGAGAATCCGCTAAACTCTGTTTGAGTTAAATTCATAACAAATAATTTATCAGTTGGTGATAATTCCGGAGTGACTTTTGTAAATTCACTATCGAAATTACTTGTATCACGTGGTGATAACTAGAAAACAAAAAGATTACATGGAAAATATTAATTCAAAGTAAGTCATTATAAACAAATTTAGATTGATTAACTTAAGTTTACGCAACACAAACCCTTACGCTGATAATGATGATTTTCTCACTAGTGACTAATTTTGCAAATAATTTACGCATTTCTAGTGATAACCCATGGCTAACGGTGTTTCACTCTAAGACATTTATCTATCGAAGACAATGCTAAGCGATTTTACAGTATCTCAAATTGATCAAGAATCCCAACCATTAGATGCAAGCCCAGTGGTTGAACGCTCGTCGCAGGGCCTGAAGGTTCTCAGTTTAATTCCTGGTCAGATAGTGGATATGGACAGTCGAGGAGTTTCCCACGAGGATGAAATAACTGTCTAGTGCTTCCTGGCTTTCAATGACTATTTAACTATGATCATTTTGTGATATAAAATATGAAAAACGAAACATAAACGAGTATGGTTTAATAAGTTGATCAGTGGTGTTAAGTTAAACTAAATGCTGATAATATATTGAACTGAATTAAGTTGAAGGAGAGAATGATTATCTGAATTCTAGTTCACTTGAATTCTAATTGTATTTCAGTGACTTGATGAGATCTGTGATATATAATCCCTTCAGTTTTTATAATATCTGAATAACATATAAAACAATCTGTCAATTTATTTGTAACTGAAACTAATTTTGAAATAGGTGACGATTACACTGAATATATCTATCATAGATTATCTCTTCTCATCACATGGTCAATTTCACTTTCACTGATAGGATGAAATACGAAATTAGTGTAGATATATGACTAGCCAACAACAATGATGTTATCTAATTGGTATAAGGGGTCAACTAAAAAATGTTTATCACTTTAAGCTGATTATAGTTAAACAACAGAGTTCAATGTTTGAATCAATTACATGTCGACTGTTTGATTAATTAATGACCAAAATAAGGTTACTGAATTTTATTTCGATAATGATATTAGAAGACGAAGATTATCTAATATCATTATCGAAATTTATCAAAGGGACTAATTGTTTTGAATTTTATTTGAAAGAGACAATCTACTGCAAAGAACAATATGCCTTATAATAAACAGAACATTGAAATCTTTTATCATTACTGCCAGGACCGAAGAAATAGTGGATTGTAGTTTGATTGAAATGTTGAAAAAAAACTACACACAAAAAGAAAATTCCAGCGATACATAATAATTTTATATGTACTTTAATTGTTGTAACATTGAGAAACATAAGGAGATATTTCCACAACAATCTTTTTAATTATATTAATGGAGTTACATTCTCTGAGCATGATAGTTTAGTCATGAAACTTTCATGAATTTTTGTTTGGACAACTTCAAAAGCAAACTTTTAATTTCACTGTTAGCATATGTATTATGATTGCCTTTTCCTATGACCTGACTTATGTATTCTATAATTATTTGTGATTTGTTTTTCTATTTCGTTAATAAATTAAATTGATATTGATATAAGTGTATATTAGTTTGAAATTAAGGTCAGGTAATTTTCTGATCATTTCAAATCAGTTTAAAAGCTAATGAGAACCAAAATCCTTTAATGGATGGCTGTTTTTTCATAAGTTAAACTTTTATCTACAATAGAATATTATACATTAAGTCGAAATTAAGATTAGGAATTCTCCTGATGAGCATAATATTTTCCGACCACGAGTTTGTAATCTAACATTTCGACATTTAGTATTTCATCGAATTTGTAATCTAATATGGTCTAAATCCAATCACACCTGACAAGCGATTGTCTCAATAATGACTCAGCTGACTTTGCAAGTGATCATTTGTTCTTAATAATTTGTCGAAATATTCATTTTCAAAATTGTCATAAATCCATGGTGCTAAATATCTTTGGAGTAAAATGAAAGGGTTGTTCAGAGAAATTTTAGCATTTAACAGTTATCAAGTTCATCACACTACAATGAACATTATACCATAATATATACTCAATGAGATAGAAAGCAACACATACAGTAACTGGTTTGAATGGAGGTTGTACTAAACGCAAAGCGATTTTATCCCAATCTATGCGTCGAAAGAACAAATGTTCTTTAATCTCTTTTTCACCGTCTGAACCACAACCAAGTCTTTTCATTGGATCTCTTGTAAGCAGCTATATAATGATAATAATAGTTGTAATAAAAATAATACATTGTATATACAATAACCAATGTTGTAAAATAAAAACATTAAGCAATATTCTGAACGAGCATTGAAGATTCATTGTACACTAGTAAAAAATTGAAATATAATTAAACGAAAATGTTAGATGGTACATTTACAGCCTGAACTGATACAATCAGAAACAAAATCAGTCTACGAAATGATAAAATCATTTACGGGAGGCAGTGTATATAATTTGCAGTTAAGATATATTGGTTTGCAATACAAATACACAGAACAAAAAGATACAATAAAATTTACAAATTTAAAACAACGCATGGTTAAGAGAATGTATTGTTTTTTGTCTAACCACTCTCATCCTCAATGGATGATATTGGATAGTTTACGAGTGAGTTGGATGAATCCCAGGGACAGGTAAACCGAAACAGGGCAACAATTGAAGAAGCACTTGAGTGTTGAATTGAACCATATAGGTAGGTGCACACTACCTGGGCGAGGTCTACGCGATTATTGTAACAAAGGTTGGGGACGTTGGGTGACAAGTTTCAGAATCTATGTAAATGGTGTACTTGCACTCATTCTTTGTCTTAGGTTAGGTTTTGAGTTCCGAAATCATCTAATACTTTTCCTACTCCATTAATTCATTCTTTTTCGTCAGTCATCTGGTCAGTCCCTAATCTTCTCTACTACCACTTTTATTTATTCCTATTTCTACTACTCAGGAGTGTCTCTTGATAATTTCACCTAGTAGTGCTAATTTAGAATGCTTGTTTGTTAGTATCAGAATCGGACAATACATAACAGAACAATGTATCAGGTTTCAGGTTGTGCATAACTGATTGCTTATTATAATCTAATGACAAAATTTAACCATTCACAACACATTTAAGACTATGTTAAACATGAAACATCTCTACAATTATCATAAAAGTCGAAGAGTCAAACGCTAAGATTATCAACATGGAAAGAAAATACTACTGATTTCTTTATGATGGAAGTCATTCTTCAGGTTAATTCATTTGTGATTTGATACTTATAATATTGAGAATCATTATTTCATCAACTTTTCACTTGATCTGATGAATTAACCAAGTACTTTCCTCCAAATGTCCTTGTACGGTCGAGGGTGGGGAGAGTCAGCTCTCCATCTCGAAATGCTCTCAAATGGCCACGCGTATAAAGCCACTGCCAATGAAGTCCTGCTCACTGCCTTCTTGCGGTGGGGGTGTTGTTTACGAAATTGAGTGGACGAAAAGCGAATTACCGGCGTTTTAACAGGACTGATGGACGCGGGGGGTCCACCTAGGAGAGTTTGAAAACCCTGATTTCGAACCGATAGTGCACATGGGCTCCAGGATCCTAAGGGAACAAATGGCGCATGAATCAATTACTGATCACCGGCTACCATCGGACTGCATCTCCTAACGTTGCTCCACTGCATTGTGGATCAGACCTTGCTCCGGGTGTGGCCTCCTAAGAAAACCACCTGCTTCGGTATGGGCACCCAGACAGTATCATCGCCTACACACAAATCAAGTGACTTGTGTGGCGCATATGTATTCCGTGCCCCTTTGTACCAATATTTATGTGTTCAAATAAATAAAATTATAAAATAATTGATTGTTTTAATTTTTATAAACTTTGGTTTTTAATTATACTACAGAAATTATTAGATATTTTCTGTTATCCATACGGTTCTATAGATGATGGAAATAGGAGAGAAACTCAATAATACCAATTGTGAATAGAATGATTTACAGATATATATTCCAGTGAGTGAGAAATTGTATTTCTGACTCTTCGTGACTTAATGTTAGCCACTTTTTCAGAGTAAATAAATAGCCGAAATAAAGTTAACACAAGTTTAAATAGTATAAAGGAAGCAATGAAAAATATTTTTAGCACAAAATATTTATTTGAAACTATCAAACCAATATTGGGATTACTACCTACAGGATGATGTACGTTTTTATCGTGAACTGGTTAAAGCTAGTCTCAAATGCCAGCTCAGTAGTCTAGACATTAAGCGCTTGCTATCAGACCCAAAGTTCTTGAGTTCGGTCCGCACTAAGATCGTGGACGTGCATTGACGAGGAGTCACGGACTTGGACGAAACAATTATCCAGTACTTCTTGATTTTCAATGGTTATCTAACTAGGATCAGTCCGTGACAAAATCTATAAATTAACAATGTTTGATGTAGTGAATGCATACATTTTTTTATTACTATTGTATCTAGTCACTTCTATTTCGCTTATTTTCTTTCACGAAAAGAATACAACTCATTACAAGCAGAGGTCTTTATAAGTTTAGCTTTATTTAAGTTTTCCTCGAAAACAATGCAAAACAGGATATTGACGAAGCGAAGAAAAGATGGGGTATACGAATATGATCACCGAAAATGTAGTTTGATGATAAAATCACTCGACTTTCAGTTTCGAACAACGCTCTACTCAATACAATTTGGGTGAATTTGCGGTAGTAGTGGTAATAATAATAATAGTACTAGAGTTCACTTATGAAGGTGTGACTCAAACCTGAATATACACAAAGCTCCTGAGGTTTAACGAATGTATCAACCTAAATAAATTTGATTAATAACATTCGAAAGTAAACAGTGAGAAAACTTACAGCTTTACAAATAGAAACGGATTCTTTGGATAAACTTTTTGGATAAGAAATAGTATGTTGTAATATATTTGCAAACAAATCCTCTTCATCCTCACCTTCAAAAGGAGGCTATAAAATAACAAATATAACAATATGTTAAGCTTTAACCAGAGAGAAAAACAGAAAAAGATGTGGAGATAAAACATTTAAAACAATAAGTTAAATTCGTGTCAAAAATCTATACAGTAAATTACACAATTTTCAATAGAACTCCTAAATTAGTTAATCTGATCCAATCATCAGGGAGCTCTGAAGATAAACTTTATTTTGATTGGAACTGACCAATATGGTATCTATAGCATCTATAGTCGTGACAAAAATTGATGCATCTTGTATCAGAACTTATTGCTAAAACCAGAGATATCAATGGATTGTTTAGGCTGTGGCTAATAAACAGCAGGACAATGATATTTACGTTAACCGATCATTGAATGTTAAGAAATGTCATCACGTGGTCTAATTCATATTAGTAATGATTAAATAGTTTTGATTATACTGAAATTTCGCCACTTGTTCAGTAATGCATTCTGTTTAAGATCAGATAGTTGAATTTAATCCCCAATAGGTTTTACACGTAGATTTGCTCATATAATTCAGTGAAAGTTTTTCTAGTTCGAAATTCTGCCATCGTTCCAATGGATTACTATCCAAAATTTATATTTACTCTTCTTTCTCCCTTTATCTAACAACCCAGGGCTAATGATTACTTGTTTAGTGTTTATTTATTACGGCATTCAAAAAATGCTATTATGATCGTATTTGAATCGCATTTTTCAAGGTTTCCTGTTATTCACAACCAATAAGTAATGATTTTTTATGAGCTCATGGGAATTTACTGTTGACAATTTTTAAGAAAGTGTTAACAAAATACCCCAGAGTAACAGACTGGAGAGATTACAATAACCAGCCCATATTAAATCGGAAATATACGGTTATGAGGACATTTGTCCCTTTATTCGAGCAGGATCCAAATGGTTGAACATACTAACAAATCTGGATCTAGGTAACTCGTAAACAATCTTGACCAGCCAAGAAATCTTTGAGAAAAGCATATTGTCAGTCAAGTGAATTACAGTTCTGATGGAAGAGTCAGAATTGTACGTTTAACGACTGTAGCAAAAGAAATTACTCGAAAATATATAACCCATGTTTACTCGAAGAGACTGAATACTAAAAATTCAATAGTTATGGATCGTAAACATGGTGATCGTTTCAAACGGAACAATTTTAGTTATATTTGTGAATAAAATGATCGATAAATATTTTACTTTAATTCCGCACCAATTTAACTGAATTTAAACTTATTGTAAACTACCTATATTTAAATAGCTGGGTCAATAAAATTACACTCATGATAACAAGACCAGTAACATAGGATATTGATTTCCCGATTCTTATAACAAATAATCACATTTGAAAAAGTAATAATATTGGTCATAGATAGTTAATTTCATGATATTGCATATTTATGATTATTCAGTAAATCATTCATCAATCAATTAATGTCAAATGCTGTTCAATTCAATTTATACACATTTCATCATCAATCTGATTGTAAATATATCATATTAAAATGCAATGGATTCAGATTTGGATTTGATTAATTTTGACGGTTAAATAAATCTTTATCGAACGTTTTTTATGTTCTTACTTGCGTCATCCAATTCATGGGTTCAAGAAACTAGTACCTAGAAGTTAATTAAATACTCCTTAGACATAATAATCAATATTCTCCCTATAAATAATAATGTTTCTCATGATTAATAATTTATGGCATATGTTTAAACATTCTCTTTTTCTGATTGACTGTTATATTCATTAACTTTTGAAAAACATTACTTTTTACTTGTCTTGACTAATAGTTACGTCCAGACTCTGATTTTATGATGAATCGGAATGTTTATAAAAAAGATACTTGTAGCTCAAATAAATTCAACATTGTGCTCACTTACATGCCTACGCAGTATTATAAGACTGATAATATAAAGCATAAATTAATGCTTAAAACATGAATTTATACTTGGTTCGTGAGATGCAGGTAAAAGAAGTTATCTGGTAATAATACTAGTCATACGTTATTATCGTTCCATGCTAACTGAAAAGATAATTCATACACATTGGTTATTTCAATTTTCCTATTGTTGTTCAAAACTGTAATTGGTCATGCCTTCTGGACTAAATAGTTAAGTGGATGAGTTTGAAGCGAAACGTACTAAGTCCGAGTTTGGGATTGAAAATCAACTCTGAGATGCAGGTACATCTAGCTAATAAGTCCCTAATAGGACGAGACGCAGTTCCTGGAACTCATTTCCAGTCATTATTCATGACTAAAAAGACATTTTAAAAAACTACTGTTCTAAGCTTTAAAAACATGAATGAAATAGTTTTCTAATGTTCAAATGTACTCAATGGTAGTTTTACTGCGGTTATGTCACAAAAATAAAAACAAGTCATGATGTTTGAAGGATCTTCTCAATTAATACGTTTAAGTCTAGGAACGTCATTGCATAAAAGTTAAATTTCGTAAAAGCAAAGAAAAGTGTCATTTTGATCACGAAAATATTGATAAAATTATTTCATTGCGATTTAAATAATCTAAGAGACTGGAGAGAGAGAGACATCACATACATATTAGAATGATATGAGGTATTGAAGAACTTTAATCACATTATAGGCTACTTTACATTAAGAAAAATCAGTAAACATTTGTCAATTTTTTAATAATGTCATTTTAAATATGCCATTAGAAAAATTCACTTACCTGACCAGCTAGCATTTCATATAGCAAAACACCGTAAGACCACCAATCTACTGATTTACCATAAGGTTTATACAGAAGTATCTGTTTATAGATTGGTAAAGTAAACAAAACAGCAACATGTAAATAAATGTGATCTTTCAGACAAACACAAAGGACAATACATAATAATCCTAAGAAACTTAAAAACACAGAACTAAACAAGCATTTAATATATATAGCTAGAGTATTATTATAGACCAGAAGCACCTAGTTTCTTCTGTGAAATCAACGATAATGCAATCATTAGTTGTTCTGAAAAAAGCAACCAAGACAACTAATCAGTAATTCTACATTTTGTTTTCCAAAAAAGGATTCTTGATGAAAATCGATCAATGGTTAACAGTATCATTTTAGTAAGAGAGATGAAATTTTATTTAGAAAAGAAAAAATAAAGCAATACATAAAAATCATTTTAAAAAATCTGTTACGACATATATAGTTGAAAAATGTGTTATTTGTGAAGAAGAAGAAGAAAGGTCATTTAATAAAGGCCAGAATGGCTTGGAATATAGTATCAAGTCACAATCAGTATAATATTAATATAACAAAATGAAAATGAAGAAAAAGGTCGTGTGAATAAAATGGTCTTTTTAAATTATGGACTTATAACTGTAGAGATTGATGATGAAGTTATTGAAAACGATTGTTTGCCTAAATGTTCTTCATTTTTGAGAATTCTATGGGGATTTTTAAACTGCTGAAACTTAGTTAAATGTGTTGTTCATGGAAATCTTTGAAAGGTTTCAAAAGAACGCTAATTGGTCGGTGTTTTGAAATTTTTTCTTGATTTCTAGAATTTTTGGAAGAAAAAATAACTCTTAAGCCTGCTAATGCATTATGTAATTTTCTATCGAGTAGGAGATTTAATTCCTAAATATTCCATTGATATAATCATGATTATTACTTGAATTCAATCTACAGTTGTAATAAGTAATTCGATAATTATTGGTGATATTTTATCATTCATGCAAATTCACTAACGTAATAGCTGAAAACACGACTTTATTAACAAGCCTAAAAACAATATTTGCAATTGCTTCAAATGTTTTGGTTTTATATATTTCGACCATAATCTTTACTGTTGTATTTAACGATACCTTTTTCCATAACAAATATTTTCCGTCCGATTATTCGTATGACAACATAATGATAAATGATAAATAATTCAAAGGTTTTTTGAACAAGATTTCCATCATCTTCAGCACCGATAAATGTGACCTAGATAGCCACGGGAAATCAATAAATAGTTGATTTACCCAAGTTCAGAATATCTGATTAGTGGAAATTCACATCATTCTAGACAGAATTAAACAAAGGACCTTTAGGTTTTAAATAAGGAAGCGTAACATTTGATTATTGAATTGGAATGTAATAGGCCATGTATTTTTGCTTCAGTTAATTTTTGAAAATCTTGGAGTCAACATCCAACATTAAAGAAAACTCATTTTCTAGTTTGCGAATCACCTTGAAAATGATTCATTTGCTAGTATTTGAAGAGATCTTTATCAAAATTGGCGTTTACGGTACTATGTTAACGTTCTCATAATATTAAACGGAAAATGATAATACAGAATGAAAAGCAGGCAGAGTTATACCATAGGATCTCACACAAAAAACTGAATAGGATCATACCGCCAAACTTTGCGAAATGACATGAAGAAAAATGAATTAAAACGAAAGTGCACTAGAAAGAACAGCAGGTTTATATAAAAAAAATGTGAAAATAAGTGGTGCGTAAGAAATTATTGCAGATATACGAAAAGAAAGTTGAGCGTTTATGAAACATTGTTATCTGTTGTGAGTTATAATACATTAAGGATCCTTAGAACTTGCTTTTGAACACTTCGGATAGCAAACATTCAAGGTAATTTGCATCAAAATTAAAATTTCTACCTTTGTTTCAATTTTACTATACTATGGGCAAGACTACATGTCAGGGTAGTTTATGCATATCAAATACAACTCAACCTTGGTTTCTACCTTGACATGGCAGTCAGTTTAGCAGATTATAATGGTGCATTTGAGTTATGCAAACTGGGACAGTTGTTTTTTAAGTCGTACTATCCCTAACAGGTCGACTGGAGGGAGCGGCAAGAATAAAGCCTCAAACTTACAGTTCGAGGTTGAATTTATAATGATAAACACATAAAAATTTGATGGCAGAAAACTTTTTCCCACAATAGGTCAGCATTTACAGCGATCATGCTTTCTCATAAACGAAAGTGAATGATAAAAAAAGGAGACTCGTAAATTGAAATACTTCACTTTTCACCACAGATTCTCAGCATTAGTGGTAAAGTACAATACAAATACAATCAAACCTAGTCATTAAAACGTCATGAGTAACTGGCCTTAAGCCATCATCTATTGGACTCTTTAGTCACACTCCTAGGTCATCACGACCACACCTAGATAGTTTTTTTTTTCCAATGCTCTCAAGAAAACAAAACCATTCTTGAACAACCTAGTAAACTAGGGAGTGACAACCTCTCTCATGCTTTTAACAACAATCCAGTTAATTTACTGACCAAATCTAATTAAATGAACTGAAAAAATCCAAACCAGGACGAAAAATCGTTAAGTAAAATTTGTGGGTTTTCAAATTATCCTTTAGTCGATTTTGCTTCATTTATGAAAATAATCTCTACATTGAACAAACTATTTTTAACAAAATTACTTATCTGAAAAATAAAATGTCATTAAGTAAAACAAAATCGAGGAAAATAAATTCTCATTGCTACATATTCTGTTTATAGTAAATATTGTTAAATAATTCTAGTGTAATAGTGAAAACAATAATGCATTATTGGCAGTATATTTGTTTAGATGGTGGTTGGAGGTAGCCCGCAGTGTCGAGTCACCTAGACTGGTGGCCACATTGCAACATGATCGATAGCATTCGATCTGCACTAATAAGGACTAGACAAGCATGACATTGATCACCACCCAGTGATCAATCAATTGTGAGTATATTTGTTTTTCCTACAAAAGAACAGAACATTTATTTTTAGAATTTCAATAGTTTCCTTTTGTGTAAACAAATGATCATTCCAAACATTTACTATCGTATAAATGAATACACATATGATCGAAACAATTTGTAATCACTCAAAATACACATTACACTTGATTATTAGATCAAAACTAAGTTGACTAATGAATAATTTAAAAGTAGAACATGTTAATTAGAAGGATAATTTGTAATAGATTGATGTAAAATACATAAGAAATCCATTCACTATTATTCAGTCATCATTAAGGCGGACAATTAAATAAAAGAATATAGAAAATCGCTGAAAAATTCCCATTATATTAAAACACAATTGCATGAACGAAGAATATTTTTTTTCAATAATTTCTCATCAAGTTCTACAATCATCTCATATCCAAATTAATAATCCATAAAATTGGCCAAATTTAAGGCAAAATACATCATCATTTGGAAATTGTAATATGTGAATCAGGAATTGTTGTTCGTTATATAAAATCAAATCAGATTGTTAATGTTGGGGCTGATTAATATAAAGTGTTAACTTGAATCAGATTATAAGTGAAATGAAATTGTGTGATAAATGATCAGAATAAATATGGTCAACATGGGGTGAGAGAGAAAATAATGGAATAAAAATCGGAAATTACGTAATACGTAGAATGATATGAATCAGGTCAGATATAGTAGATTTGAGGTTGGATATTGAATAAATTCCTCAAAAAGGTTATCAAGTGTGTAATGATAATAATAATAACAATCATAACGGTGATAATCACAGTGGTAAAGATAACAGTAATAATAATAATATTTGGGACATAAAATGAACGTTAATCAAATTACGTCACTATATCATAAAATTGATTATTAACTAGTTGGCCAGGGTAAAAGGAGTGGCTGAACATAATTCTTTTGGATGCAAAGCTCTGGCTATTTGATCCGAATAATAATTGCTTCAGCAGTCTGTGGGATTCGCAGTCTGAGGGAATTAGGTAGACTGCTGTTAACACGATAGATTATTGCAAAAGATTGCTCCATGTTGGCTGTATGTCCTGTCTGAACTAGATGGTCTTTATATTAGTCAGCCCCAACATTAACGATCTGATTTGATTTTATATAACAAACAACAATTCTTAATTCACATATTACAGTTTCCAAATGATGTACTCTGCCTTAAATCTGGCCAATTTTATGGATTATTAATTTGGATATGAGATGATTGTAGAACTTGATGGGAAATTATTGAAAAGAATATTCTTCGTTCATGCAATTGTGTTTTAATATAGAAAATATCAGTTTTCATTCAACTAACAAACATTCTCATATTTCACACGGTTTATATGAAGCGTAAACATTTTAAAAAATAAAATAACAACATACTTCAGGTGCAATATAATCTGGTGTACCACAAAATGTATGTGTTGTAGCGTCACCTGTAATACCGTCTTTACACATTCCAAAATCAGCTATTTTAATATGTCCATCGGCATCGAGAAGTAAATTATCCAATTTTAAATCCCTGTAACAACAAACACATTATGAAATACGAGAGAAAAAGAAAATCATGTAAAATTCAAAAAATAGATTTCGTTAATTAGAGTCAATAAAAGCAAAAATAAAGAGAAAACTGATTTAACTGGACAATTAGTTATCACTTGTCACTTGAGATCGCATGACTGAAATTAGTATAGGGGAAATCGTGAATATAGTAGAATCTTTATGATTTCAAATACAAACTGGGAATTCTCCCAATAGGACGAAACAACCATTCAATCTTTCAAGTTTTCCAACTATGATCTAGTTAGAATCAGTTCGTGGTTTAAAAGCGTATAGCGGATTTCACTGCTGGTCATTATAAAAAAACTATAATGAAATTAGTAAGCATATTTTGACATATTTACAGGTTGATAATAATAAATAACAGAACATTCAGTGATACTTTGTGCCTCAGTTACAAACAGATGAATGAAAACACCAGTGAGTGCAAAGTGAGAAATAACATAGTGTTTGGTGTCTAAATAAACATAACATATTTCTGAAGTAACGGATTAGTATTCTCGATTAATATAACATATTCTCATTTTCTTGTTTATATGTTTAGATTTATTGATTATGCAAAAATGGATAAACACATTGTTCCCTGCCATGAGGCGGTTATTTACTACATTGAATGTGTTCATAACGATTAGTTTAATGTACGGAATATTTTTTAAAAAAAGCACATACGCTAATTCGTATATATTATCACAAAATGTTACGAGTAGATACTTAGATGTGTTGATGAAGAGTGATGATTTGTTTTGAAATTCTAAACAACATCAGAAATTCTGTCTATAACAATACTTTATTATTTATCAGTTACAAGTATATCAACGTTTGGAAGAATATATTTTCTTAAGATAAAAAAGAGATAACTGATCAGATTTACAGATTCTCAAGCACTTTTTAAAGTTCTTTGCCTTTAGACTTCTAATTTTACCAGTCGATCCATAGATATTCTTCTGAGTGAGCAACTAAAAACTACAACGTATTATGATAATTAGACAATTCAACAAACGAAAACGCAAGGATATATATTTTAATCAAATATAACAGTTATTGAAAGCAGTTCACAATGACAGTGATGTTACATTTATTTCGAGAGAAAAGTATAATATATCTCAAACAAACAATAGTGTGAAACAAGCTTAAAAATGACATTTCTTATGCCTTAGATATTATATTATAATAATGGTTTTTAACTTACCGATAAATAATTCCTTTATCATGTAAAAAAAATAAACCAACGGCTACTTCAGCTGCGTAAAATCTGAAATATTTAACAATAAATCAAAAGACGCAGTAAAACACATAAATATAAATGTGCAAAGTTGATCTGTCTAATGGTTGATGAATTCGAACCCCTAGATGATAAAGTAAACCTCATCCTACCCATTATCGATGTCTCCAAATTGAAGATCACTAATTCTTGGTACTAGGTCTCAATATACACAAAGGGAAAAGAAAGATTCTCCGATACAACACAGCATGCACCAATCCAATCACAATTGACGGAGAAGATTTGCAAGATGTAAACACCTTTACATAGTTGGGCAGCATCATTGATGAACATGGTGGATCTGATGTAGATGTGTAGGCGCGGATCGGTAAAGCAAGAACAGCATATTTACAACTGAAGAACATCTGGAACACAAAACAACTGTTAACCAGCACCAAGGCCACAATTTTCAATACAAATGTCAGAACAGTCCTACTGTATTGAGCGGAAACCTGGAGAACTACGAAAGCCATCATCCAGAAGATACAGGTGTTTATTAACAGTTGTCTGTGCAAAATACTTCGGATCCGTTGGCCGGACACTATTAGCAACAGCCTACTGTGGGAGAAAATAAACCAGATCCCAGAGGAGAAAGAAATCAGGAAGAAGCGCTGGAAGTGGATAGGACACACATTGAGGAAAGTACCCAACTGCGTCACCAGACAAGCACTCACTTGGAATCCTCATGACCAAAAGAGAAGAGGAAGATCAAAGAACACATTACGCCGGGAAATGGAGACAGATATGAGGAGAATGAACAACAATTGGATCGAACTAGAAAGGAAGGCCCAGGACAGAGTGGGTTGGAGAATGCCGGTCGGCAGCCTATGCTCCATTAGGAGTAACAGGCGTAAGTAAGTAAGTAACTAATTCTTGATACAGATTTAAAAACCTTGGTTGGCTTTTGGTTATTGTAGAAAACATATGGCGTAGACGATATAACTCTCTTTCGAGTAAAAGGTGAGCATATTAGATAGCAGTTCGTTCCGTTCTACTTAATGACTGTGGAACGTAACACTTAGAAATAGAAAGTACTGATAGGTGACTAAAATATGATCCTAAATCCACTCGAAGCATTGCTCACGTGCAACAACCAACAAAACGTACTAGGGAAAGGCAGCAAACCGGTTGATGATAAGGTAAATCTTCACCGACCGAGGCGGTTGGAACATCTATTAAGTATGTCTAACAACTGCGTACCTAAACGTAATGTTGATTGGTGTACCGGTAGTCTGGATTTACCCTAAAGTAGGATGAGCCAAGATGTAGCATCAATCTCTGGAGCAGCTGACTACTGAATGGAGATGAGTTCGTAGACAGGGAATACCTTGTTGAAGACAGAAATAACCGGATTTAGTGATGCAATATGTTGAGTGAGAATTATCAGAATATCGTTCAAAATAGTGAGGATGTATTCACTTTGTCTTCACCTAAATCTTTCATTCATCTTATACTTTCTATTCCGTAAATTATTTTTTTCACACGAACAATTTAGTCTTACCTCAATCGTTTTTACTACTACTGATAACATTAATATTTTTACTACTGTAAATTTGTATTGATAGTTTTCTCTCACTGTGTTAACTTAAACCATTGTACACTTGCCAGATTTTGCATGCCTTATAAATAACTGACTAACATTCAAAACAAATATCGTCGGAAATTGAGTACAAATATTTGTATTCCATAAATTATTAAATGTAGATTACCGAATAAATAGGTATAAAACATTTATATAGTTTATTTAAATAGCTGTTAAGCATTTCCTAAACAGTTCAACCAAAAACTTAATAATCTCCACAACCCCTATACTGATAATTAACATGTGCTCACTAGTGACTAGCTTCGTGAGGGAATTCTCAGAGTTCTAGTGAGAAGCCGTGACCAGTGGGGCCAATCCGTGTCGGGTAGAGACAGGTATCTACCTCAGCACAAACGAAGATGGTCGCGCAATTTTGTGGATTGGTTGATGTTAGACACTAACACCATCGGATACCGGCTCACTGGTCAAGTAGGTTGAGCGTTCGCGCGCGATACTGAAGAGCCTGGGTTCGAATCCTGCAAGGGGGGATCGCGGATGCGCGCTGCTGAGGAGTCCCACAATAGCACGAAACAGCCGTCCGGTGCTTCCAGATTTCCAACGGTGGTCTAACATCAATCGGTTCATGATCTCAATCAAAAAAATTTCCTAAACAAAAAAACATAATCACTAAAATAAGAAGTCGTCAAGCTAGATGAGTATATTTTCTATTGAAATCTTATGAATTAACATCAAATAAAGAAAACAAAAAACGCTTTTTTTCTTACTATTAACTGTGAAAAAAATACAATTAAACTCTTTTACACTTTCTTATTACTGAGATTCTATACCATTTTCAGTAATTTATCATCAATGTTAATTATTTTAATATAGAATAACAGAAACTATAACCAATCTGTTTCAAATAAGTTTACAATTAACATACACACAAAAAAGGATGAACTAATCTTTTTCTTCCCTTGAAATGATATGAGATTTTCTGGCTTGATTAACTAGTATCTTATTTTATTACTCTGGTAATATTATTATTCTATGACCTTAATTTTTTTGTAGAAAAAATAAAGGTCAATGAAATTCATCATGACACTCTCTATAAGGTAACGTGTTCACATTTACTAATTAAGATTATTTTGTTTTCAATTATATCCATTTTAATAAAACTTTAATACTTCGATATTATTCATGATAATGATATTTTAACCTAAAATATTATTATTACTACACTGGAAATGTTTATAGTTATGTAGAGATTTGTCACAATGGATTGATCACTGGGTGGCGAACAATGTCATGTGTGTCTGATCCTTATTAGTGCAGATCGAATGCTATCGATCATGTTGCAATGTGGCCACTAGTCTAGGTGACACGACACTGCGGGCACTATATATTGAGATTAGATGTTGGTTGGAGGTAGTCGACAGGAAACCCTGGACCCGGGTTTCGTGTTGCTTGGCACTCGTCAGCAAGGTGTACCCAGTGATCAATCAATTGTGATTACATCTCAGTCCTACAGGAGGTCGGTCGCGGCGCGGATAGCTCAGTGGTAACGTCTCTGACTGTGAAGCTGGGTGACACGAGATCGAATCCGCCAGGGAGCACCAGTTCCCTCAAGATTACAGGTACACCTTGCTGTCGAGTGCCAAGTAGCACGAAACCCGGGTCCAGGGTTTCCTGTCGACTACCTCCAACCACCATCTAAAGATGATTTGTATATGAGTAATTTTAGTGAAATTTATTATTTTTAAAAAAGTTGGTTTTATGATAAAATTCTTCTGAATAGATAAATTCATGGATTACAATATCAAATACAAGAAACATAGACATATTACACATGTAACTCAATAATCTAATGATATTATATCTCTTGTAAAAATTAAATGTTCTAGAATCGATATATGTATATTTTGTCATGAGTGTTCATACACAATTGAACATTCACAATTCATGTAGTTCAAAATAATCAAGTCGTAGTACGTAAATGTGAATTATGATTTTTCCGTAAGTAACTTCTATTTATATATGATAAGCCTTGCAGATTGAACGCTATATTCGTTTCCTAATCTATTCTGTAACTCCCAAGCTAGAACTATACAGCAACCTGAACAACGAGAAAGAAGATGCAAAGTATGCGAGAAGTACTTTACTCCAAGGTTCATTTCAGTACAGAAAATAAAGGGTTTTTATAATATTTTAAATATCCTTGGGTTGCTAGAAGATTCCGGAATGCTACTAAACATAGTAGCAGTGTGGCAATCAGCCAATCAGAACCTCTGCATGCGACGTTTCGCCCCCTTGATATATCTGGCTAAAACTTCAAGTGAAACGCTGATTGGAGGAAACGCGTCTTAGTGTTTCCTGATCCTTGCTTGACTTTTGCGAGAAATTTTCTGGGTCACCGCAAGAATATGTAGCGAAGATCACTTTACACGCTATTTAAAAAATCTCAACAAAATCAGTTAAACAATTAAGCTTTTTTTAAATTTTAATTTGGGAGGACAAGTATGATGAAATAAGTGATTTATTTTGAATCTCAGAGCAATTTTCAATAAATTGTTTGTTTAAAGAAGAAAATGTAAATGTAAGTAGTTAATTCTGTAAGCTAATACTTTTTAATATACAACTTGTTGTCAGTTAAGATGTCATTAAACTTACAGTACCTGAAAAAGTGTGAATTTGTTCAGTGGAGATGAGGAAGGCAACTAAAAATAAAAATATTGTCAATGACAATAGAATTAAGCAAAATAAGTAGTTCGAGAAGAATAGAAATCAAAACGTCAATCCAACCATGCCACAGCGATCAAAATCAGGTCCCGTGACTGTTTAAAAATATATTATGATACTTGCTGAGATTAAACTCAAACAGCTCTACATACCGATACGAATCACATTACCACCGATGATTAGCTTTGTCAATCTTAAGCACTCGTTAAAAATGTTAAGGCAAAAAATGTGGTGGTAATCGTCATAGACTTAATATGAACAACTAATGAACAGCTATTTCATTTTAGTACGAGGTATCCGCAAAAATTTGGTTGATGTTATTGCTCAGTGACTAATACTATCAACAAATAAAATTAACCAAGGATTAAGTTTCAAAGGAAACAATTGAGTATTAATATTTAGTGTTATTTGTAAAATTAATATTTTTATAGTTGATAAGATGGATACAAAGAAAACCGGGTAATCATCATTGTTATATCCAGATGAAGAATATGTGAATAGTGACCGCTAGGATCTATTTATGGACTTTTATTATATATATACTTATTGTATAACTAAAAAGTAACTATTATATGCATATTCGCATTCCTTTTATTATGAGCTTATATTTGACTTATTAAATATTAACATACGATTTACTATTCGTGAGACATTACCAGTTTATTGGTTACAGTCTCTCAACACCGCAGCCACTTTTGGTTTGATGTTGTATGATTGTTATTTATTATTTTATGGTATGTTGCGGTCTGGTTTGTTTGTATATAAACCCAGTATGTCGTTTATTGGATCCTGATATTGATGTTCTGGACTAAACCGACTGAGTTAGGAGAGAAGCAAATATCTCGGTGGACCAGTAAAGACTCAGAATCGACTCTGGGCTGCTCATACTGATTTATTATTCATTGACCCAGTCAGTAAGTCAAAACGAGATATAAGTAGTTTGGAATGTATTGAAGGTGAGTAATAATGTGGAGATATTTGGTGAGAAAATGCGAAAATTTTCAAACAAGCAGAATTTAGTAATTCTAGGAACGGATATTTATTCAAGCAAATTGCATATTTTGGGTCTATTTAGGATAGTGACAAATATATGTAATCTTGAACAAGAGCTATATCATTAGTGGACAGCACGTTGGCGGACACAAGTTGACGTTTCAAAATCAGATGACAGTTCTCCATAAGATTTGACTCGACTGGTAGTGTTCGAGTAAAGAGCCTTCACAAGGTTTATGTACTTGTGAGGTACGACTTTCAATCACAGACACTGCCAGAGAACCCCACAGTCTACAGAGTCAAGTGCTGCTTATAAGTCAAGAAAAACTGTTTGATTGAATATGTTGCACGTTCGTTAAAAATATTTGATTACATGTTATTTACAACAACTTGTTAACTGAAAAAAAGCAAAATAGGTTTTTAGAAGATGTATGAAAAATTATTGTAGGAGTGAATATTTTGGTAGCATGATTGACTCAAGAAAAAGGATTTTGGAAAGACCAAAGACATAATACGTGAATTAGTGTTAGATGTAACTGCTTCGGAGCCAGAAATGTCTAGGCTTAGCAAGAAAAAAGGGTACAGTACAGAAAACAACTACTAACAACAGTCTAGATGATAGAAGCCTGTAATAAAATACCTTCAGCCCTGAACATCAACGAGATAATTCTAACACTTTCTAATAATAATGTAATGTTAACAAATTATTTTCCATTTGGACTCAATACTTCAGTGAATAACGAATGAAGCATTTGAAGCGAAAAGGACTGGATTTCAATATCATTGAGAGAATAAACACCAGTGAGATGTACCGAGTTCACAAGTCCCAGATAAAATGACATGTTCCCCCTGAATAAAGCCATCAGTAACAATAATAGTTATTGTTACTATTACACAGTTAATCATAATCCATCAATAAGTTAAAAACCATGAATTACTAAGACACTTTTCAATTTAGAATTACAAAAGAAATCTTCATAAGTGATTGTATCAATCGGATAAAATCAGATCGAAAGTGAATATATATATATATATATATATATATATATATATATATATATATATATATATATATATATAATATATATATATATATATATAAGTAGACTTACACAGCAATAGGTTCCTTAAATTTTCCTTCCTTCTGTATTCTAAACATTAGATCACCACCATTGACAAATTCCATCACAAAATATAATCGATCCTTGTAAAAAGAAAGTAACAGTAAGAAAAACGACTATTATTTATGATTAATTACTAAAGCAAACAGCTTTATCAATATTATCTGATAAATTGTTCAATAATCAAGTGTACATGTCTACATCACATTAGAATTTAAAACTATCATCCTTTTTTTCTAGAGGGAATTTAATGATCGTTACCAACCTATGAAACGGAGATAGTGCGACTACATGAAAACAGTTCATGAATTTGGTGGAGTTTTGTTCTCTGAGCTGGATGGTTTTGGTCGTGTTATAATTAACAAATGGACAGTTGTCAGTATGAGGTTGTACAGATTGTTGGATTTCAGTGAAATCACAAACTGACCGTTGTTAGAATACTATCGGAAGCTTAGAAGCACTCGACAGCTATTTCGTCCTCGTGTAGGGCTACTCAGAAGTGTGAGTCCATAACACCGAGACCAGAAATCAGACTGAGGTTTATCGGTCTCACGTAAGAACGCCTAACATCTAGAACACTAAGTTGGGACCCCATTGTGTACAAGTTTAACTTCAATCAACCCACGGATTATCAATGTCATCGGTAAATACCTTTCTTACACTAAACATAGTCGAACTAAATTTCATCCCCCATAAGGTCATGAATGGACACCGTTGAGAAGTTCAAACTATGACGAAACGTTCGTCAAGTGCTTCCAGTTTCCCAACAATCACCCTATTTAAATCGGTCGGTGATTTTAATAAAACAAATGAGTATTGGATATGACTGACACGTCTTACATTTTAATTGTATTGCAGAACTTAAAAAATTTAGAAAATTCGTACATAATGCTGATCATGAAGTACAGTGATAATTTAACTTGAATATCTAGATAACGGCCACTTGGACACAGTAGATTAGTAGATGACACGTTGAGCAAAAGATACTGTGTTTCAGTCTCAATATGAACATCAACACCAGAATGTAGGTACATCTACCTGATGAGTTCCAAAAAAGTTGGACAATACAAACTAAACCTTATTGTCAGCCACATTCCATCGATTATAAATAACATCTGAATATTATGGTCAATAATAATATACCTTATCTTGTTGAAATGTTAATACTGTTGTTATTCAATAAGCCTTAGTCGAAACAATCGTCGACTATCAAGCAAAAAATCATTGATAAATTATTCAGGCATACATACTTATAACTCGGAAAAATGTTTTTTTTCACCAATAAAAAGGAATTAAATAATGTATTTCATCATATTCCATAATCATATTCTCCCACCGCAATATCCGATCAATACGGATATTATTATTAAAAAAACTAAATAATATAATCTGCTTAAAACGTAAAAAAAATTCTGAAGTTTCATCAACTCATAGTAACATGAAAAGAAATACAAATTTACAATGTTACAAGAAAACAACTTCATAGAATAAAAAACCACCCGTTCTTAGATCAAACAGATATTATTGTTGTAAAACAAATTAGAAATTGATTAATGAACACTTCAGAGAAAAAAAACATAATTGAATTTCACAATGATATTTTCAAAATTATCTAATTCCTTTCACAAACAAATTACTGCTTATGATGATGATAAACACAAGTAATTAACAGTGTTTTCTGTGAGTTGTTTTTTTCTTTTCTCATTTTACCTAGAATTTCATATATTTCATGAAGAAAATATTCTAGTGTGTGTTTGTGTTTGAGTATATGCTCACTTTCTTTCTTTCATTATCATTGAGGAGAAAAGATGATGACAGAAGAACATTCATCTACTTCTATCCAACAAACCTTCACTTATACATAAATATATGTTTTTAAAATCTAATTAGCTAGTTCAATTATTCAATGGTTGTTTTATCTTCATAGTCCAGTGAATAAATATTTCTTACAGAGAAGCAACGGAAACCAAAAAAGTTAAAGAAAAGAAACTTTGACTACTTTAAAGTAGTTAGATCCTTATATTCATTTGTTTGTTGATTTTATTACTTCAGACTACTTTTTCGTATTCAAAAATAAACTATTATTATTATCATCATTATTATTTCTGAGAATAATGACGGCAATCACTACGGAAACAAACACATAATTTAATACTTCCGTTATTTTGAAATAGTTCATCAGGAAACCAATAGTAACGGATGTGAATTTTGTGGTTGTTGAAATATCTTCTCATTATTATTGTTGCTGTCGGTCTTATTTTCTGTTGCTGATCATATTCAATATTTTCTTATTTATGTTATGCGTTGATGATTTTAATTTATCAATAGAAATGATCAACAACAAAGTAACTGTTTTGGGTTTATTTAATAAAAGCATAACTATTGAAAATAATTTAAGGTTTGTTAATATGATGAATAGATAAGATCAAGAATGCTTAGTTCCGTTATTTATTTTTTGTTTTTATTGATAATTACTTGTTTTATTACTACAGAGAGCATTTTGGAAATTGCTCAATGTCATGGTATACATCATAGCCTGATTATGATTAGATAACTATTGAAAACTAGAAAGCATAGAGTAACTGCTTCATTTTAGTATGAAACTTCTTAGTAGTGGAAATCCGTGACTCCAATGAGGATCAAACAAAGAACCTACAGTTCTAAGCCATTAGCTTTAAGAAGCTATGGCGTTGGAAGATGTTTACCCAATGCATATATGCATATATATATATATATATATATATATATATATTACTTCTCAAAATTCCATAATGTTTCGCAACAGTACTAGATCTGAAAATAATCTTATTTTGTGTTTGTGTAGAATCAAGAGTCTGTTCAATTCAAAACATTATCAAACTTTAATAAATCGTTTTATTTCATTCTAGAATATGACAGTCAACATGGGCTTACATAAGTATGAATAATTGAGTAGTTAATTATTTAAAAAGCGATGATCATATCTAAATGAAGAAAAACATCATTATCGTTGTGTATTAGAAATTTTTCTGTTATTTAATATTGTATTAGAATTATTTACTTAGTAAAGACTTGGTTTGTAATTAATTTTACTGAAATTCTAATGAGATGCTTATTGACCTATTTAATTAATGGAATCAAAAGTAGGACAGTAATCTCAATGATAAAATTTGCTGAAAAAAAGCTAACATATATATATTCCCTGAATTTTAAAACATGGAACGCTGTATCCTGACTCAATGATCTAAACGCATATTGTTTGCAGTAAGACTTGGACATTCTGGTCTGAGATCAATATATGGCTATAGTAAATCAGTTCTAAAAAGTCCGAAACTTAAGGGAGACAGATGTTCAACGTGCCTTTATTTCCTCAATACTTTTCCAGTTAGTATTATTTAATGATCAATACATATTACACTTTTGAATATATAGTTAGAAAGGGATTTATATATATATATATATATATATATATATATATATATATATATATATATATATATATACCTTGATGTAATAATAATAATAATAGTTTCGCCATCTATTGCCTACTTTGTCAATCTAAATACAAAGTAGATTTATTGAGCTGACTGTAGAGAGGAAAAGTCAGAATGACCGTAATCATATGACCTGGTAGTTTCAATAATACAAGAAAAGAAATCTTGCCAGTTTAGTGTACGTATATATATAAATATCAATAAATAAAAGAATATGGTAACCATAACAACACTTTCTACAACGATTTATTTTCTTGGTCAAAACAGTTTACACAATATTATTATTTAAATAACTACGAAACATTTTAATAATGAAAATAATTTGACGAATAAACGTGATAAAAGATTATAATTATTGACCTTGTAAACATATAGAAATCAAAAGTTTTACAATCAAGTGTAAAATCAATTGTTGATTGATATGAACTTGAAATTTCCTTTACATATTTTATGGTTATTTACTTTGTTCGATACATTGACATAAAGAATATTACTGAATAATATGAGTTCTTAAATACTACGCATTTTCTTCTATCTGAAGTGAATCAATTCAAATGGAATAAAAATGGTACGTATAGCCCATCCTTAATCTTTAATCGACAGAATTACGTAGAAGGAGAGAAACAGGTTGTATGACAAGCTGTATTTGCTAAACGAATAATTCATATAGTTAGTGTTTTTTTTAGATAATTGTACTGACTAAGATATTGAACTTATGGTGGGGGGGTGATCTTAGTTATGGAAGTAATCCACTTGCCTATTAGAGCCCATTGACCTACTATGATATCCTGCATACTACAAATGATAACTCGTGTGACGTTATATGTGAAAAGTTTTTTTTTCACTTTCTGTCAAACTATTCGTTCTAATATTGACGAATATTCGTATAAACAACTCGTTAGGTTTACGGAGTTCTGTTAGTACACTAAAACAGTTACTCCAAATATTAAACGAAATGTATTCTCATGCAAAATCTGACCGTTCCTAATCAACCAATTAGAAAGTTATAAAAAGTTATCCAGGTACCACTCATATCGTTATTTTTCCTATACCTACAACTCATCTCAATCAAAAACTTAATAATCTCCACAACCCCTATACTAGTAATCAACATGTGCTCACTAGTGACTAGCTTCGTGAGGGAATTCTCGGAGTTCTAGTGAGAAGCCGTGACCAGTGGAGCTAATCCTTGTCGGGTAGAGACAGTTATCTACTTAAAGACAATGGAAATGGGTCGCGCAATTTCGTGGATTGGTTGATGTTAGAAACTATCACCATTGGATGCCGGCTCAGTGGTCCAGTTGGTTAAGCGTTCGCGCGCGAGACCGAAGGCCCTGGGTTCGAATCCCGCTCGCGGGATCGTGGATGCGCACTGCTGAGGAGTCCCACAATAGGACGAAACGGCCGTCCAGTGCTTCCAGGTTTTCAATTGTGATGGTCTAACATCAATTGGTTCAAGATCTCAATCAAAAACTTAATAATCTCCACAACCCCTATACTAGTAATCAACATGTGCTCACTAGTGACTAGCTTCGTGAGGGAATTCTCGGAGTTCTAGTGAGAAGCCGTGACCAGTGGAGCTAATCCTTGTCGGGTAGAGACAGTTATCTACTTAAAGACAATGGAAATGGGTCGCGCAATTTCGTGGATTGGTTGATGTTAGAAACTATCACCATTGGATGCCGGCTCAGTGGTCCAGTTGGTTAAGCGTTCGCGCGCGAGACCGAAGGCCCTGGGTTCGAATCCCGCTCGCGGGATCGTGGATGCGCACTGCTGAGGAGTCCCACAATAGGACGAAACGGCCGTCCAGTGCTTCCAGGTTTTCAATTGTGATGGTCTAACATCAATTGGTTCAAGATCTCAATCAAAGACTTGGAATAGTCAACACAAAACATTAAAATCATTACGTAATAAGAAGTGTGTAAATAATTAGATAGTGAAGAATACAAACAGAAAGAGGTGGAAAATTACAAACAAATACTAGATGTGAAAATAAGGTTAACGATAACAAAATAGAAATCCTTATGGTTATCCTTTTTTTTGCCGTGTATTAGTTTACATTTACACAATAGATATTCTTTCTAAACAATAGTTCTGCAGCGAATAATATCGAAAAATCTAACTCAACTAAATAATTAAGTGGTATTATTATTTATATTACTAATCATAATAAGATGATAGGTGCAATAAAAATGAAAAGACCGGAAAATAATCAATTTTAAAAGTCTGATCACATCAGCGTTTGTTTATTCAGCACTATTTTCTGGTAAATATTTTTCACTATTCCAAGTTTTGACCTACTTCCTATTTTGAAAAACTAATTCAAGCCTTTAATATTTTTATCACTACTATAACACCTGTTAACTCATTAACAATTTGTGCTAATAACTTATTGTGTATCATTATGTAATCGATCTTATTGTTATTGCTGATATAGAAACTGCCTTAATTAATCTCATATTTATCATATATCCATGAAAATACTACGCAGTATTGGAGTGAAGTCTGATAAAGATCTAACTGAAATATATATATATATATATATATATATATATATATATATATAATTGAGATCATGAACTGATTTAAGATGTAAAATAATCGAAAGAACAAAGCATTAGAAAATTGTTTTGTTTTAGTATTGATACCAGCTCAGTGGTCTATGAGACCTGGAAATCCTGCACTCAATCCCAGATGAGGTCGTGCATGAGCATGGTTGAGGAGTTACATACTGGGACGAAACAGCAGCCCAGTTCTTTCAATGGTTGTTTGATTTGGATTGATTCGCGGTCTCATTATTAATAAGAAACACAGATAAAACAGAATAATGTGACGTCTTAAAATGTGACAGAATATAATTCACTTGTTGAGTGCACGTTTATGAATTCTTTTTTCAACGCTATAGAATAATACGAATCGGTTCTCTAAACTAAAGTACGCTTCAAAAGCCAATCATTTAGCAGTCACTTTACATCGCAATGAAAGATACTTCTCAATAAAATTCGAACAATAACAACAGTTAGTATTTATGAATATTATACTGTGAAACAAAACATACCATAGTTTGAAATGTAGAATGTAATTGAACAAGAAATGGTGGTTTACGTTGTAATGCTAACACTCGACGTTCAATCATTGCACAGTCTACATCATCATCTTGTAGAACAACATCTTTTTTCAAGATTTTCACAGCATAAAGTTCATCTGTATCTTTACGTTCAGCTAACATTACCTATAAAAAACGCAAACAAATGTATCGCATTATCATTTTACCGGTTCAATATCTTCGCATGAGAAATATTAATCAGTCAGTTAGTCATAAAATACATAGAGCCTGATATATATGTACATTAGTCCAAATTGCGACACTACATTAGAACGATTAGAGATTATATTATCAAGATGAATATCAGTAATAAGGGACAAAAATTTTGCATGGCGAGAGTAATTCAATAAGAAAGAATTGTGTTAGCGAAGAGCTATGAAGAGGAACTGATATATATATATATATATATATATATATATATATATATATATATATCTTTAAGCCATTCGCATTTTAAAAGTATTTTTATATTTTATTTAAAATACAAAGAAAATAATTCTAACAGCTTAATTACGAAAGGAAGATCAAAAATAATTTGTTTATTTCAATATTACTGAGTAAGACAAGACATGACCCTACAAAATGTAAGTTAAACCATTCAAAGTATTTTACTTTTGGAAGTTATCGACCAGTCAGTTAACTTTTCTTACTTATTTAAAATCAATTAGATCTGGAATGATGTGATGTGGTATGTTATTCAACAGAAATGATACTTTGCGACAAATGAAGTCAGTATAAAATTTTAAGATAACTATCGTGATAATGACAGAAAAAAGTGACAGATCAATAGTACGATACCATATGGGTGTAATCACAATTGATTGATCACTGGGTGGTGATCAATGTTATGTGTGTCAAGTCCTTACTTAGTGCAGATCGAATGCTATCGACCACGTCGTAATGTAGCCACCAGTCTAGGTGACTCGACATTGCGGGCACTATATAATGAGATCAGATGGTGGCTGGAGGTAGCTGACAGGAAACCCTGGACCCGGGTTTCGTGCTTCTTAGGATCGAATCTGCTAGGGAGCACCAGTTCCCTCAAGATTACAGGTACACCTTGCTGACGAGTGCCAAGTAGCACGAAACCTGGGTCCAGGGTTTTCTGTCGACTACCTCCAACCACCATCTAACCATATGGGTGTGCTGTTCAATTTTAAAATGAAACAATTTATAATAACATTGTTGTTTCCAGAGATTTTTCAACTGATTTAAGTCTGCAATCATGAAAAATCCTCTTCAAATTAGTCTAATCTCAATGAAATCAAAATAAAATATTTCTTTCCACTATTGTATAATATAATACGAATTAGTTATTTAACTTGAAAGGGATAATAAAATGAGAATACTATTATTTTATTTTAGTAAATATATACACATATAATGCTGAATTTCGTGATAAGTGACAGAATTCAAATTTTTCCACTTAAATAATAAGCCAACAAAAAGAAAACACAGTTGAGGAAATCCACATTAACCAACACTTATTATTTGAAATATGTCTGAATATATATGTAACAGATTATTACAATTCTGAGGATTAAGGATTAGTAAAGAATAGTAATATATAAAACAGCTGATTATTATTATGAAAGAGTACGCATATTACAGAAAATATTAACTCATGTAAAGTAAATATATACGAAAAGTTTGAAAAATGAGATTGTTTACATGTAATTAGAGTAAACCATATAGTATAAATTGAACTAAATGAAACCAGACCCTATATACAATAGATATATCGGTAATATCAAGTTACATTTTAATGTTTAAAAATTAAAATCTGCTTAATTCCCACTGGATTATACGATGATATTTCTCTAACACAAATAAACATTGTTGAAGGTGGAGTTTTGTTCTCTAAACTGAATGGTTTGATGGTGGAGCTTTCATTGTTCTTCTGAACGACATCATAAGCACAAACTTCAAGTAGTAGTGAAGTGTTCGTATTCCTTACATATGACTCACAGCTTGTTCTGCAGACCTCGAACTTGAATGATTATTGTTGAACTTTAACTTATCGTTGTCTAACTACTTATTTTGATCTTATCTCCCATTGGTTAGATTCTTAGTCGTATATTTGTTCAATCTAGATCGAAATCGATAGGAAAAGCTGTGAGTCATATGTGGGAAATTCAAACACTTCACTTCTACTTGAAGTTTGTGTTGTTCAGAAGAATAATGAAAGCTGCACCATCAAACCATCCAGTTCAGAGAACAAAATTCCACCTCATTTATCCACCTGAGCTAAATATCGTCCGAATCATGTCAAAACGTAGCTCTAACTCATCAACTACCATGAAATGTATTTGATTTTGAACCATACTGTTTGTGTAATGACCAATTATACTATTCAGCTACACAGAGTGAAGTAGATCAAATGGGGCTCAAATTCCTAATCTGATGGTTGAAAGTTGAAAGATCATTGAACCTCTCCTTATAGCAACATTTCAGACACCTTGTTACAGTGTAAAAACTTGTAACACTTGACTTTCCCAGAGTAGCTAGGTGGTGTCAATATAAATTTCGCTCTAAAATATTTTATCAAAACGAGGTACATAAATCTGTTATTAATCAATGAAAAGCATCAAAACTCAAACATTTTAAATATATAATCTCCAAAGTATGACAGAAGATGATATAACATAAATAACTTTATTATTATTATTATTAAAATTATAGATTGTAAAAATAACTTTGATAGTAAAAAGAATCACCTTCCCAAAACTTCCTTTGCCCAATACTTTGATAAATTTGAAATCTGTTGCTCTGACTACATCACGTAATTTTGTTGGACAGTTTTGTATATTCTCATTATCATCATTGTAAATATCTCCTTTGAATTGTGACTGTAATAGATAATCAAATAATCAGTAATAAAAATCATTAATTATTATATAAATAGAAAAGTTTGTAACAACTGGGCAATTTATTGTTGTTATTACAGCAACAAGACTATAATTGATGGATGATGAATCAAACAAATTTAATATAAACTTAGATTTTTGTGCAAAATTTATTTACCCATATCATATAATTTAAAGTATTTCAACATTATAGCTGATGTTAGTTCGGGATAAAAATTCTTAATATATTTCCAGCTTTAACTCCTCATCCTAATACTTTATAATCATTCATAACACTATTTTGACCCTTGTACGTGGTTTGATTGTTTGACAGCCACCTTAGTAAACCATACACTCATAATACTGACGGAAATATGTGATTACAAAAAATTGTTTATTTCGTACCACTAAATGAGGCGTGTTGTAGTGACCACGGAGAATATTTTGTAGTAGTGCTTCACAGAAAACGTAAGGAAGATACACTGAAGGCATTACACAGGTGTTACGTAATAAATAACTACGAAAAGAGATTACACAGTATAATGACGACCATTTTTATTCAAAGGCACACACTGATGGCCTATTAACGAAGTACAAATAATTTAGGTTTAAACCGAATGAGATAAAGAGAAATGAATAGATCGTAATCAAACATAGAAACTGAAAAACAAACAGGTGGTTTGCCATAAGTCATATGCCCCCTACACCAAACCAACGATGGACTCAAATAGACCATATTGCCATCAGTCATCGTTGGAGAGGGTCGGTAGAAGATTGTCGCTCATTCTGGAGTACCTGCTTGGACTCCGACCACGCCCTAATACGGGCACGCATCTGCTTGCGCCTCACTGGACGCAAAAAAGCCACATTAAAAAGACCCATTAGAACTGAGTTGAGTAACGAGAAAACCAAAAGTAGGTTCCAGAAACAACTGAGGTCACACTTAGGTAGTTTTGAAAACGAGGCTGACCCAGATGTTGCTTGGAAAGATATACAAGCAGCTGTGGAAACAGCAGTGACATCTATTAGTGACTTAAACCACAGAGTTACAAAGAACCAGTGGATTTCTTCAAAGTCTATCACACTGATGGATTCTCGCAAACTCGTCCCATCAGGTTCCGAACATGATGAAGAGCGACAACAAATCAGATCTAGGTTAAGAAAAAGTCTAAGAAACGACCGTGAGCAGTGGTGGGCAATGAAAGCAAAAGAGATGGAAAAGGCGGCGACTATAGGGAACACAAGACAGCTTTACAGACTAATAAAAGAAACTGGAATTAATAAGTCAAGTGTAAGTGAGATTATTTCGGAAAAAGACGACACCCTCATCTGCTCCCAGTCCAGACGTTTAGAACGATGGGCGGAACATTTCAGAGAACAGTTCAGCTGGCCTTCAGCTACTCTACAACTACCCTCCATTCCCAGACAGTGTAAATGGAACATTGAAGTAGGTCCCCCAACTCTTGCTGAAGTTCAAAAGGCTATAGTTAATCTGAAACGAGGAAGGGCAGCTGGTCCAGATGGATCGTCTCCAGAGGTCTTTAAGGATGGTGGTCCAATTTTAGCGATTAGGTTGACTAATATTTTAGCTAAGATCTGGGAATTAGACGTTATCCCATCTAACTGGTCACAATCACTTATCGTCCCAATATATAAGAAAGGGTCAAAATCATCCTGTGACAACCACAGAGGGATTAGTTTAACTAATATAGTATCTAAAATACTAGCCTCGATAATTATCAGACGCCTAACTAAGACTCGTGAACTGCAAACACGAGAGACTCAAGCTGGCTTCAGACCTGGTCGTGGCTGCATCGACCACATATTCACCATTCGTCAGATTCTAGAACACAGGCATACTTATCGGCGTCCGACAATGGTGGTCTTTCTCGACTTAAAAGCAGCATTTGACTCGGTAGACCGCGAGATTCTGTGGCAGTGTCTGTCATTGAAAGGCGTACCCCAGAAGTACATAAACCTTGTAAAGGCTCTTTACTCGAACACTACTAGTCGAGTCAGAGCTTATGGCGAACTGTCATCTACTTTTGCAACCTCAAGTGGTGTCCGTCAAGGCTGTCCACTTTCTCCATTTTTGTTTAACTTCATCATAGATCTACTGATGGAAATAACTTTCTCGTCGACTGAATTCTCGGGTATTGATCTCCATCCAGGAGGTCCACTTATCGACTTAGAATACGCAGATGACATAGTCCTGTTTGGTGAAGACGCTGACAAAATGCAGAGAGTTTTGGTAGCACTAAGCAACAATGCCAGAATGTTTGGAATGCGCTTCTCTCCCTCTAAATGCAAGTTGTTGCTTCAGGACTGGTCTGCGTCAACACCTGAACTAAGGATAGGGAGTGAAGTAGTCGAACGCGTTGACAACTTCACTTATCTTGGAAGTCTGATCAGCCCTAATGGGTTGGTGTCTGACGAAATCTCAGCACGGATTCGAAAAGCTCGCTTGGCTTTTGCCAACTTACGTCACCTTTGGCGAAGGCGAGATATCCGTCTATCAATAAAAGGACGAGTATACTGCGCGGCAGTCCGTTCTGTTTTAATTTACGGCAGCGAAACATGGCCATTAAGAGTAGAAGACACTCGTAAGCTACTAGTATTTGACCACAGATGCCTTAGAAATATTGCTGGCGTCTGCTGGGATCACCGGGTAAGTAATAGTGAGGTTAGACGCAGGGTATTAGGAAATGATGGTAAATCAGTTGATGAGGTTATGAATCTTCATCGACTGAGATGGTTGGGCCACGTGTTACGTATGCCTGAACACCGATTACCACGACGTGCAATGCTATCCGGTATTGGAGATGGTTGGAAGAAAGTTAGGGGCGGCCAAACCAAAACGTGGCATCAGTGCTTGAAGACACTAACTTCTAGTCTGAGCCATGTTGGTAGATGCAGACTACTTGGTTGGGGTCCGCGTGACTGTCGTAACCAATGGTTGGAGACTCTTGGTGACATGGCTCAGAATCGATCACAATGGCGTCGGTGTATACACTCTCTGTCTTCCCTTAAACTAAGAGATTAAAATTGCTCCATATCTTTCTTTCTACGAACCAATTCTTTCTTCTTGTACTATATCTCTATATGCAATCTTCCTCTTATTTATTACCACCTTTGACCTAACCACTGCTATGAATCCGGTGTTCATCTTGTTGTGCTGATGCGGTATGGCAACCTGGACCGATGCACATATGTGCCTGGTCCTACGTTGTAGCTGACTGACTGACTGACTGACATAAGTCATAATTATAGTAGCCTCTCAAAAAAATCACCATACATCACTGATGACAAATGAATTAAAGTGTCCAATTAATTTAATACAATTATTATGACTGTTAGTCTGAGGTTGTAAAGTTTATTGAATTTTATCGAAACTCTGAACCAACCAAACCACCATTAAAAACGTGGAAGCACTAGACAGCTGTCTTATTCTAGGACAGGACTTCTAAACGTGCGCGTCCACGACTTTTTACGCTGAAATGGAACCCAGAACCCTCAGTGTCGCGCAAGAATGCTTTATCTCTAGACTAGTGGGTCAGCATCTAGCAGTGACAATGTCGAAATCTAATCAATCCACGAAGATGGTCAGGCGACGTCGTGAACTAAATGAGGCGTCCTATTCTAGGACGAAACAGCCATCCAGTGCTCCCAGATTTTCGATGGTGGTCTAACTTAGATAGGTTTTTGTTTTCGATGTTATTATGAGTATTAAACATCTGCTCATGAACGCTAATTCTGAAATGCTAAATTTTTTGGATGAGGATTAATAATTTCTAGAACCGGTTTACAACACAAGAGCCGTTGAGACAATAGCAGTAATATCGTCTAGCAATTCGGTAACGGAATCAATTTCTTATTTATGCTTCACGTTCCATATGAAAAAAAAAATCAGTGCATTGTCAACAACTTACAAGTGGACAGTATGATTTAAGTTACCTGTTCAGTCAATTTGAAAAGTTCCACAAACCAGAAAGCAAAAGAGATCATTTTGAAAGATATAATAAAAAATTAAAACACTTCTCATAGAAAAAAGCCGTTGAAAAGAAGTAGAAAAGTTTAAGCCGTTCAAATTCTAATAATGCTAGTTTTAGTCATCTTTGAGCAATGTTGCCAATCATATTTAATATAAATAGATTCATTTATCTATACAAGAAGTGGAAGAAGGAAAATAAATTAGTTGCGTCTATGTAAAGATGTTTAATGAGCGAGTGACATGGAACAGTGATATAAATAAAATACCTAACAGAAATGGAATCAATAGGTTAATTGTTGGATCTTATCAACTTAAGGTTTCAAAGTCAAAACGATTTGTAAAAAATCACGAGCTCAATAATGACAATAAAAGAAATACTACAATACTTTGCATACTGAAACGCTCTAAGCTTTATTTATCGGAAAAACTAAGTGAAAGTTGAAACACTCCTCGAAAAAAAACATAATCATTTACAAACGGAAGGGCGTTATTCCAATGTAATTAAAGCTTCCAATATTGAGTAAAAAATGTTGCGTCATTTAACGAGCTAATCAACAAACATTGAGAGCTTGTGTTATGTAAGTTTTGAAAGTAATAAAAAATAATCGTTTACGGTATAAACGTCGGCTGAGATATTAAAAAACAGCCTATCCTGACCCTCGTGAAAGACATTTTACTCCGCAGCGCTTTGAACTGTTTTCTTTAGCAGGAATTCATGAAGTGAATGTCAAGGATAAACCTCCACTTTGGACCATCTTAATGTGCACCTACCAGTTTACATGCTTCTGTGAGGCAGGTTACATTAGCCATACAAAACGCGCACTCTGTGAACGAATACCCAAGCACTACCCTGAATGCTTATCTAAAAAGGTATACAAATCAATCGACAGCTCAATTCTCAAACACATGATCAATTCGGGTCACACCCCATCACGCAAGTCTGCGTACAAAATCCTCTATAAAAGTAAAAACTAGTTCATAAAAGGTTTGGATGAGGAATTTATGTACGGCC